AAAATTTTGCACAACCCCCTACCTTGTCAAAAAATTGAAAATTTTTTAAAATTTTGCACGACCCCCTACCTTGTCAAAAAATTGAAAACTTTTAAAATTTTGCACGACGCCCTACCTTGTCAAAAAATTGAAAATTTTTTAAAATTTTGCACGACCCCCTACCTTGTCAAAAAATTGAAAATTTTTAAAAATTTTGCACAACCCCCTACCTTGTCAAAAAATTGAAAATTTTTTAAAATTTTGCACGACCCCCTACCTGGCAAAAAATTGAAAATTTTTTAAAATTTTGCACGACGCCCTACCTTGTCAAAAAATTGAAAATTTTTTAAAATTTTGCACGACCCCCTACCTTGTCAAAAAATTGAAAATTTTTAAAAATTTTGCACGACCCCCTACCTTGTCAAAAAATTGAAAATTTTTTAAAATTTTGCACGACTCCCTACCTTGTCAAAAAATTGAAAATTTTTTAAAATTTTGCACGACGCCCTACCTTGTCAAAAAATTGAAAATTTTTTAAAATTTTGCACGACCCCCTACCTTGTCAAAAAATTGAAAATTTTTAAAAATTTTGCACAACCCCCTACCTTGTCAAAAAATTGAAAATTTTTTAAAATTTTGCACAACCCCCTACCTTGTCAAAAAATTGAAAATTTTTTAAAATTTTGCACGACCCCCTACCTGGCAAAAAATTGAAAATTTTTTAAAATTTTGCACGACTCCCTACCTTGTCAAAAAATTGAAAATTTTTTAAAATTTTGCACGACGCCCTACCTTGTCAAAAAATTGAAAATTTTTTAAAATTTTGCACGACCCCCTACCTGGCAAAAAATTGAAAATTTTTTAAAATTTTGCACGACTCCCTACCTTGTCAAAAAATTGAAAATTTTTTAAAATTTTGCACGACCCCCTACCTTGTCAAAAAATTGAAAATTTTTAAAAATTTTGCACAACCCCCTACCTTGTCAAAAAATTGAAAATTTTTTAAAATTTTGCACGACTCCCTACCTTGTCAAAAAATTGAAAATTTTTTAAAATTTTGCACAACCCCCTACCTTGTCAAAAAATTGAAAATTTTTTAAAATTTTGCACGACCCCCTACCTGGCAAAAAATTGAAAATTTTTTAAAATTTTGCACGACTCCCTACCTTGTCAAAAAATTGAAAATTTTTTAAAATTTTGCACGACTCCCTACCTTGTCAAAAAATTGAAAATTTTTAAAAATTTTGCACAACCCCCTACCTTGTCAAAAAATTGAAAATTTTTTAAAATTTTGCACGACTCCCTACCTTGTCAAAAAATTGAAAATTTTTTAAAATTTTGCACGACGCCCTACCTTGTCAAAAAATTGAAAATTTTTTAAAATTTTGCACGACCCCCTACCTTGTCAAAAAATTGAAAATTTTTAAAAATTTTGCACAACCCCCTACCTTGTCAAAAAATTGAAAATTTTTTAAAATTTTGCACGACTCCCTACCTTGTCAAAAAATTGAAAATTTTTTAAAATTTTGCACAACCCCCTACCTTGTCAAAAAATTGAAAATTTTTTAAAATTTTGCACGACCCCCTACCTGGCAAAAAATTGAAAATTTTTTAAAATTTTGCACGACTCCCTACCTTGTCAAAAAATTGAAAATTTTTTAAAATTTTGCACGACTCCCTACCTTGTCAAAAAATTGAAAATTTTTAAAAATTTTGCACAACCCCCTACCTTGTCAAAAAATTGAAAATTTTTTAAAATTTTGCACGACTCCCTACCTTGTCAAAAAATTGAAAATTTTTTAAAATTTTGCACGACGCCCTACCTTGTCAAAAAATTGAAAATTTTTTAAAATTTTGCACGACCCCCTACCTTGTCAAAAAATTGAAAATTTTTAAAAATTTTGCACAACCCCCTACCTTGTCAAAAAATTGAAAATTTTTTAAAATTTTGCACGACCCCCTACCTTGTCAAAAAATTGAAAATTTTTAAAAATTTTGCACAACCCCCTACCTTGTCAAAAAATTGAAAATTTTTAAAAATTTTGCACAACCCCCTACCTTGTCAAAAAATTGAAAATTTTTTAAAATTTTGCACGACTCCCTACCTTGTCAAAAAATTGAAAATTTTTTAAAATTTTGCACGACCCCCTACCTTGTCAAAAAATTGAAAATTTTTAAAAATTTTGCACAACCCCCTACCTTGTCAAAAAATTGAAAATTTTTTAAAATTTTGCACGACCCCCTACCTGGCAAAAAATTGAAAATTTTTTAAAATTTTGCACGACGCCCTACCTTGTCAAAAAATTGAAAATTTTTTAAAATTTTGCACGACCCCCTACCTTGTCAAAAAATTGAAAATTTTTAAAAATTTTGCACAACCCCCTACCTTGTCAAAAAATTGAAAATTTTTTAAAATTTTGCACGACCCCCTACCTGGCAAAAAATTGAAAATTTTTTAAAATTTTGCACGACGCCCTACCTTGTCAAAAAATTGAAAATTTTTAAAATTTTGCACGACCCCCCTACCTTGGCAAAAAATTGAAAATTTTTAAAAATTTTGCACAACCCCCTACCTTGTTAAAAAATTGAAAATTTTTTAAAATTTTGCACGACCCCCTACCTTGTCAAAAAATTGAAAATTTTTTAAAATTTTGCACGACTCCCTACCTTGTCAAAAAATTGAAAATTTTTTAAAATTTTGCACGACGCCCTACCTTGTCAAAAAATTGAAAATTTTTTAAAATTTTGCACGACCCCCTACCTTGTCAAAAAATTGAAAATTTTTAAAAATTTTGCACAACCCCCTACCTTGTCAAAAAATTGAAAATTTTTTAAAATTTTGCACGACCCCCTACCTGGCAAAAAATTGAAAATTTTTTAAAATTTTGCACGACCCCCTACCTTGTCAAAAAATTGAAAATTTTTTAAAATTTTGCACAACCCCCTACCTTGTCAAAAAATTGAAAATTTTTTAAAATTTTGCACGACCCCCTACCTGGCAAAAAATTGAAAATTTTTTAAAATTTTGCACGACGCCCTACCTTGTCAAAAAATTGAAAATTTTTTAAAATTTTGCACGACCCCCTACCTTGTCAAAAAATTGAAAATTTTTTAAAATTTTGCACGACCCCCTACCTTGTCAAAAAATTGAAAATTTTTAAAAATTTTGCACAACCCCCTACCTTGTCAAAAAATTGAAAATTTTTAAAAATTTTGCACAACCCCCTACCTTGTCAAAAAATTGAAAATTTTTTAAAATTTTGCACGACTCCCTACCTTGTCAAAAAATTGAAAATTTTTTAAAATTTTGCACGACCCCCTACCTTGTCAAAAAATTGAAAATTTTTAAAAATTTTGCACAACCCCCTACCTTGTCAAAAAATTGAAAATTTTTTAAAATTTTGCACGACCCCCTACCTGGCAAAAAATTGAAAATTTTTTAAAATTTTGCACGACGCCCTACCTTGTCAAAAAATTGAAAATTTTTTAAAATTTTGCACGACCCCCTACCTTGTCAAAAAATTGAAAATTTTTAAAAATTTTGCACAACCCCCTACCTTGTCAAAAAATTGAAAATTTTTTAAAATTTTGCACGACCCCCTACCTGGCAAAAAATTGAAAATTTTTTAAAATTTTGCACGACGCCCTACCTTGTCAAAAAATTGAAAATTTTTAAAATTTTGCACGACCCCCCTACCTTGGCAAAAAATTGAAAATTTTTAAAAATTTTGCACAACCCCCTACCTTGTTAAAAAATTGAAAATTTTTTAAAATTTTGCACGACCCCCTAATAAAAAAAGTATTTCGTAAAATTGCCTTTCAATACTCATTAAAATTCAAAATACATATTGTCCTTCCCTCAAATATTTCAATATCTTCTGTTTTTTTTTCATAAAATTGCAACAATAGACTACAAGTAATTCAAAATATTATTCATTTTCACTAGTATTATCTTAGGAATTCTGATAATTTCGTCATTCTCCCATAAATGAAGAGCATATTATCCTTATTATTGTGTTCATATTACTCTCTTCGATATGAATCTCTTGGACTTGAAGTTTATTGTACAAGATATTTCTACTATTTCATCAACATTTTCATGATTATACACAAAAAATGTTGCAAAACATTGTAAATGATATAATTATCTATTTCTATTCATTTTAATCGCAAAATTAATTACAAATTTTTATAAAATTTGTAAAATTTAAGAACTCTCATTCATTTAAACAATATTTTTGAATTGAAATTCAAAAGGAAAAGAGTAATACCGGAAAACAAAACTCTTTTCTCTCTTTTAATTCGAATACTCGTAAACTATTTAATATGCAACATGTTTACATAAAAACTTCAATTCACAATAGTAAATACAAAATACAAAAATCCTTTTATAACCACTCCGTTGTGTACCGAAGAAACACGATTAAAATACAAGGCAAAAAAAAAAAATCTGATGAACAAATTAAAAAAAAATTTCGAATATTTTTTTTTTTGTTTTTGTTAATTGTTTAAACAAAACCTTTAATTTTCGAAATAAAATGAAAATATAAGAAAAGGATAAAAGGAAAATGCGTACAAAATAATCAAAAAGAAAAATATTATTATATGTGTATGTACGTCGGCCTGTGTGTGAGTGTTTGTATAGTATATTATCCTTTTGGAAAAAAATTTTCATTATCCTTCGATTTTGGTAACATTTTAATGTTAAAATTTCATTTTATTTTAATTAGTTGTTAACTGAACTTCAAGATATAAAGACGTTTTATAAAGGAAATAGGAAAAAAATTATTCTATTTTTTTTTTTTGTATACTAAATAACGGTTATGTAGTAGGGTATTGTTACTATAATTTGTTAATTTTAAAAAATAAAATTTTTCGCGGGCCAAAAATAACAAAAAAAAAATAAATGTAAATAAATAAAAATTAATGGAAAAAAGAAAATAAAAATGCAAAATTTTTAATTAATTTTTTTAAAAAAATTGTTGAAAATTAAAAAAAAATTCAAGAAAATTTTAAAAATTCAAGAATAATTATTTGAAGAAGAGTCTTATTGTGAAATAAATAATTTTCTTAATTAATTAAATTTGAAAAAATTTATTTAGATTATTGCAAAAATAAAAAATAATCATGGGTTGTTATTCAAAAAATATCAAAGTAGCAAATGCATTTATTTTGCATATTATAATTTTTACATGCCTTATTAGAAATGGTTAGTGTCCTTTTGGAGTCCTTTATTTCATAAGTGTTAAAATTATGTAAATTTTTTTAATTTTTTACCAAAATTTTTTATTAAAATATTTTCATTTTAGAGAATTACAAACTCATAAATTAAAAAGCAAATATTTTGTTGAAAAAAAATTAAAAAAAAAAAAAAATAAAAATTTTTATTAATTGTGCCTAATTTTTTTTTTTTATTATTTTAAATCATAATGGATTTCTGCGGGATTTTTCAATTTCTAACACACAAAACAAAAAAAACAAATAGCATCAGGATTGCAATGTTATGTTTGTGACACAACCTTAAATGAAACATGTGGAGATATTCAATCTAATAGTAATATAAAACCACAGGTTTGTATAATTATTTTTATATACTCATTTATATAATATATTTGAAATATGTTTGTATATCACGTAAAAATGGAACAACATCATTAATAGCTTGATTCTATGTGCATTAAAATGAATTCTATATGAAAAATTCTTTGTGAAAAGAAAACGAACGCAATTTATTTTTTCTTTTTTTTTTTTTTTATTATTCGTCATTAAATTTTTATTATACACAGTTTAAATTTTTTCTTTTTATAGCTAGTGTACAAGTTGTTTTATAAAATTTTTGCATAATATTATGAATTATGAGAAAACTTAGAAAAAAAAAAACAATTGGGAAAATATTGAAGAAAATTTTAGAATAGAAATGTTGAATTTGCCTGGTTTTAATTTTTTTTATAGAAAAATAGGAATTAGATTTGAATAAATATTTAATTAGAATGGCTAGTTTATTTACGAAACTAAAATTTAATTCATATTACTGATTTGAGAGAATTCCAACACGGTTCAAATTAAAATTAGAGAAACTACTTATAATAGGGTTTTTTTTTTTCGATCATATTCAAATTCGCCTTAATAATATTTATTTAGAAACAATTTTTTATTGAAATTTAAGTTGAATTTCTTCCAATTCTAAATTGTATTATTATTTTAATTAAATCTGTGGCTTAAATTGAATCTGCCTAGATATTATTGAATTTTTATCTATAAAATCTATGATCCGGTTAAATTTAATTCAATTCAAAAACAAGGTAATTCAATTTTCTGATAATGAAATTAAAATAAAAAATTTATATTTTTTTTTTTTGGAAAACCATATTGTGATTTTGAAAATCTAGTAAAATTTGAACTAATGAGAAATAAAAATTAAATACCGCACTTTAACAAGATTGTAGTAAATAATTTGGAGTTGTAAAATGTTAAACTAATATTTTAGGAATTCTGTTTAAGAGGTTTAATTTTATTATTAAATTTTTTTGTGAATTTTGAATAAACTTTTTCAGATATGTTTGTAATTGATTTATCCGAGAATATAATAATTTTGAGTTATGCCTTTATTGTTACGAACAATAAAAATTTTTTATTAATTACTAAAAGAATTCAACTATAAAGTTGAATTAAATTTTTTATTCGAGATTAGAATATATTATTGAATAAATTACATTTTATTTAGTATGTAAGATAATTGTCCGCAATGAATTTTTGCTCAAAAAAAAAAGTTTTTTCACTTCCCCCAATTTAAATATTAAATTTGAAACAAATTTATTAATTAAAATAAAAATCACCCAAAGATCCAATTCCAGAGGTCTGACATGTCACAAAAATTGATTAACACTTTGACATAGCCGAAATAAATTCATTTATAAAATTTAATTAAAATCGTTTCAACCGAACTTAAGATACACGGGTGCATCCACAAACAAACAGACCGACATTTCTTTAAAAAAAAGTTTATTTACAACTCCTTACGATGGCGAACTACGTTTTCACTGAAAATTCGACATCCGAAATTTGGTGTCATCACATAACTTCTCCTATTATATGCAATGCACTGATGCTTGACACTATAAATGTATAAACTTCAAGTAGCTATACCCAATGAAATCAGGGTATAGTTTACTGTTTTCGTTAATTAATTTCAATTTTCTAGAGAAAATTTCAACTTAAATAATTTATTCTACATTATTGGCAAAAATAAGTAATCGAATTTATTTTTTAAAAAATATTTTAGAAACTTCAACTTAAATTATTTGAGGATTGATTTGAAAGTCCATATACATATATGTTACACATAAATATATGCATGTTCTTGAAATATAATTACATTTTTACATAAGTTTTATTAGTAATAAATTAAGAAAATAAATTTACAATACTCAAGTTTAAATTATACTATCACTTACACTACAAATTTACATTGTAGTATTTATGTCAATTTGTATAGCGAAATTCAATCAATGGAAAATGATATGTTCTATAAGGTTTTTTATTGTTCCGTCGTAACTTCAGTTGAATTCGTGATAGATCGCTACAATACCACATAAATAAAGAAATTTAGACTCTAAAATTTTTCGAATGTAGAATTTTGGATTTATTTCATCTATATTTATTTATATTGTTTCCTGTCGAATAAATTAAAGTCAATTTTTCAATTCATTGGCAAATTTGGAATTCGAATTCAAGATTCAAATTCTAATGGTCGCTAATTTCACAAAAAAAAAAAACTGCAAGTGGTGCTTCAAACTATGATAAAGGTTGGAGATTTTATGCTAAAGCAATTTGTGCAAAATGTATTTTCAAAATTTTTCAATATTTTAGAAGTTCACACGTGCCTGCCAGTTTTAACTATTTTGTCTTGCATATTTTTAGGGTTATGAAATGTTTTTTGTTATTCTCGTGTTTTGAGAATATTATTATTATCTAATCTCATTTTAATTAAAAATTCTCAAATTTTATTGAAGATGAATTCAGATCTAATTATTATATTTAATCCAATTAATAACCATTAATTGTTAAATTTTATTAAACAATTTTAATTAATAAAAAAAAAATAAAAATATTTCGTTATTACAGGAATGTGACTTACTTAAACAATCAACTATTAAAACATGGTTAGCTGAATTAAATAATATAGTTTTTGATTCAACAAAAAGTAAAGTAGATACACCAATGCAGTGTCAAAAAGTTGTTGGCACTAAAGGTTGGTTGCCTTATAAAAAACAAACTAGAAAAAAAAAGAATAATTAATTAATTAAGAATTAAATGGAAAAGTGACTGGATTTATGAATTTTGTTTTTTTTTGCAAAATTAATAAGAAATACGCCAAGTTTATTAAAGAAATTTGAAATAGTTTGAGTTTTTTTGTAATTAAATTTCTATAATTCCAGAACTTTTCTCTATATAAAAAATTCACAATATAATTTTAAATTATAATTTCTATATTGATTATTATTTATGATTATTCAATAAAGATTTAATTTAGGAAATGGACCAGTTACGACATATCGTTTTTGTCAATTGGAATCAAAACTTTCAAATCCATGTGAAAGTCTAATGAAATCAGCTGGAAAAAGTAATGAAAAAATTCAAATTATATCATGTGATTTATGTAATAATGACAATTGTAATAATGCTATAAAATTTAAAATCTATCCAACACTTATTGGTTTCTTAACAGCTTTAACTATAATTTTATCAATAAAATTCTAATAAATAAATAATTTATATTTTAAATTATATAATATACAAAATAAATATTAAAAAATTATATTTAAATTAAATCAAAAAAAAAAAAAATTATTAAATTTTGTTAAAAATTAATAAAACAAGCAAAATTAATATTGTTGGTAATTTTATATAATATTTAATAATTATATTTAAAAATAAAAAAAATTATAATTAAAATCAATTATTAAATTTTAATTAAAAATGCAATATTTTTCACCATTTTACATATTCATCATATAAAAAAAAACAATTAATTATTAAATAAAATTATTTGTTTTATTTTACACAAAATTTAAAATATTTTATTCATAAAAAATAAATGTATGTATGTTTGCGTATTAATCAGAAATTTAATTTATATCACAGCATTTTAAAATCACACACAATATTCTTATATATAACAATTATAAAAATCAAAAATCTCAATAAATATTCTCGATAAAAATATCGATAATCGATTATTAAAATTTACAGAATTATTACTAATTATAAAGACAATAAATTTAAAGCAGAAAATTATTATACTTTATTCACTGCCCTAGCGAGTATAATAAACAAACAAAACCGATCTAATTGTTCTCGTTGTTTCTTTTTTTTTTATCAAACTTAAAAAATAATTTCAATAGAAAAATAATATTCGTATGTTTTAACTCAATTTCAATTAATTGAGGGAAAAAACATACGAATTATATCGAAGTTGACCCGATTGATGCAGTTCGGAAAAATTTTTATAATACATTGGCAGATTATACTTACCAGGGCAGTGTTTTATAATTAAACACAATAACATTATAATTGTAAATGTATATATATACCACACACATACATAAATAAATAAAAATAATATTATAATATTGTTAAATTACATATATATATTATATTATAAATAAAGTTTGTTGCACAATAAATTCATATATATATATATATATATATATACATAAAAAAAAAAACAATTTAATATAATTATTTTTTATTATTAAAATCCATTATTAAATTAAATTCATAATTTTGTTTTTAACAAAACAAATTCTTAATATTCAAATTTCTAAATTAAATTCTTTCTATAATATTATTGAATTTAATTGAATTTAATTCTAAATATCATAATATAGTCCTATAGTTGTACGCCATTGAATTAAAATTTCTAAAATATTTTATTTATTAATCTAAACAATTTCTCTTTACAACATAGACTTACATTAGATTAATATTGGTACTGTTAAAATATTTAAGAATAAAATGAAAAAATTTAAAGAGAAAAATTTTTACATCATAAAATTAAAGAGAAATATAATTGTTCATTTCTGTTTCTGTAATAATATTAAATGAATTTATACTCGTACTCTTATAAAAGTCTTAGATTTATTTCTCTTTATTATGATGAAGAGATAAAATTTTCTTAATTCAATTAAATATTACAATCTAAAACTATGAGTAAAAATAAATAATCTCTTTAAACGTCAATTAGAAAATTTCTTTTGTACTATTACGAATTAAAAAATATTAATAATAATAATCAAAATACTTAATTTTTCCAATTTAAACAAAAAAAAAAATTAGAATATGTTTAAATAAAATTCTATACTCTTTCACATTGCTATACCAATTACAATTTTCAAGAGAAATTAAAATATTTTATGGAAAATGTAATACAGCACTCTAATATGGTAGAGAAAATTAAATATTTTGCATAAATTTGCAAAAAAGAGATAATGGAGAAATTTTTTAACTTTTCTAAAAATGTGCTTTTGTATTTCTGGAGAATAGAGATTACTACAATAAAGTTAATCAGGTAAAATATACTTTAAATATATTGTAAAAATATAAAGAGAGCTTATGCATAAGAATTTCGGGTAATGGAATATTATTAACAAAAATCATAGTAAATAATAATTTAAATTTAATTAATTAATTTTTTTTTTTTTTGATATTTTCAATAAATTTCTATACTACAATAAATATGCTTAACAAGAATCGTCATAATAGATTTGAAATCAAAAATAAGAAAAAAAATCATCACAATCATTCTAATTCACCAATTTTTATCTCATCAGTCACCATAATAAGTATAAAGTAAAATGAGAGAAAATATAATGTTGAGTGATCTTTTGAAGCTGACATTTATTTCCCAAGGAAAATTCAAAGTTAAGTATGCCTTTATAATTTAACTATTTATATTTTATATTTACATTTTAATTAAAAAGATAACAGTATCTCAAATATAAATTTTGGTAAAAATCGGTCCACCTGAACTTGAAATATTAATCTACAAAGACAGACTGACAGACAGGCAGACAGAGATACAGACTGATCGGCACCTCTTTAAAAATAATTTAAATACGCTTCTGTAGCACGAAGAAACATATTTCTGTCGAAAACTCGACCTATGAAATTTGGTAGCACCACATAACCTCCCTTATTATATGCAATGCGGTCGATTAACAAAGTGTACTTACATATATGTATGTACATAATGTACACTTTTAATTATTATAAAAATTTTTTTTTTTTAATTTTTATTTGATAAATTTATTGGCATAACCTAAAAAGTATTATTGAAGTGCAAATTTTATTTTTATTATAAATATAAAAAAGTAATTTTGTACTACAAGCCTACTTCAAAAATGTCTACGTACTTAATATACTACGTACCTAAATTTATGAAATCCAAGGCAACCACATTTTTAAACAAAACTCACATGCCCATATTGCTATAGATATTAAGGTATGCATATGTATATAATATACAATATAAAATAATGCGTAATACAACAGAAAATATAGAGAAACAGGTGCACGTTGCACACTAGCAAAAAGACTCAATTAAACTCGCATATATTAAATTAGTATTGAATGCATATAAAAAATTAAATATTAAAATATGGAATGAAGAATTTATTTTTTATCAATAAAATTTGTAATCAATGTAGAAGATGATAAAAAAAAATTTTATCATAAAGAATATTTTATGCCCATATAATATGACAGTTATCAATTTCAATATCAGTTAAGAGAATATCAAAAATTTATTATTTTTATTATCTTACACTAAAAAGTACATTTTTCAAAAAAAAAAAAAAATAAAAATGTTCTAAAAATTAAAATAGACTTTTTTTAAAATGATTACCTATCAAGTATACGCTAAGCTAAAAAACTTTGAAGTTTGACAGATTTTATAACTGTACTTTTATTTTATAGTTTTTATTTAACATTGGTGATTTTTAATAAGCCGGACATGCAATTAAAATTTAACTTTGGTAACAATTACAAATCTACCAAAACGCCAAATTTTTTACTTTCACAGACTTATAAGACCCATGCTTATTAATCGAATTTTTATTATTGCATTTAAAATACATAAAATTTTCTACCTCAAAAAATATTCCTTGAATTGCATAACACAATAATTAATTCGGTATTAACATAAAACTCTATTCTAAAATAAATATATTACTAATTTAAATCTCTTGTATCAAAATAGAAAATTATCTCCTGTTTTAAGTTGCATCAGACTAAATAATCGTAATACTACTGCAATATGGAACTCAAAGATTTTTATAGCATTTATGAAAAATGCCTTAAAATTTTAAGGGCAACCGGTAATTTTGAACATTCTTTTGTTTTTTTTTTTGTAATAAAAATTTATCGAACTCAATATTTTGCTTTGCAGATTATGCAGCTTCATTTTGTCATACTATTCATTAAAATCTCTTATCATACCTTTTATTAAAATCTGTAAATTAGAACTCTTAAATTATTATTAAAAATTTCCAATTCCTATCCTATAAAAATTTCCAATAGTGACCTTCAACTATCACCAAATTAATTATAATATATACATTTTATAGCACTAGATTTTCGTAGATTTTTTTCAAGAGACCCGAATGGGGCAGGAGTTTCCCATTAAGCCTATATTTTCATTAGAAATTACAAAATCTCTCATATTTTTATATGTTTTTTAGGGAAGAAATTTGACACTAAAATGTTATAAATTATTATGTTAAATAATTTTTTCACATTATAAATTATATATATATATATATATTGGTGAGCAATATTTGAATTTTTATTTCCGATTTTTTCAAAATTTTCAATTCAATTTTGAGTTTATCAATTAAAAATATAATCTTACACATGTATACAAGCTTTTTATATTGGATAATAAACCAATAATTAATTATTCATACATAAGTATACTTATATAATAATCTACATTATTATTAATCGATTGAGCAATCACTTACCTGATAAGAATAGTTCATAATAATTATTACTTTTCAGATTAATTTTGATAATTAATCTGAACAATTAAGGTTTAAAGTGATTTGTATATTAAGTATAGTATACAATATATGTATTAAAATTTGAAATTTTTTTTTGAATCACTTACAATTATACATAATATGGACATGTGGAATGAACACCATTTTTTTCTTGAATTTAAGAAAAATTCGAAAACAGATTTATTGCTGTTTTATTGCAACAATTAATATAAATTTATTAAAAATTAATAATTATAATTCATCAAGAATTTTATGTACCATAGTAAAAAATATTTTATAATTTAATTTATTATGAGTACATATGCACTCAATATAAATTAGAAATCATAATCGAGTTTATTTAGAGGTTTAGTTGCTTTCTCTAACATTTATTTAGATTGTATTTAAATAATCTTGTATAAGTCTAATAATTAATTATTTAAATATAGTTACATAATTTACATAAATTAGAACTACGTGCTCAGCCCAGCGGAGCTACAGTCTACCGACCCTTCAAAGTTGCTCGAATTCATCACGAGGGTGGGTCTCGAGAAAGTGATGTAGAGCTTTGTTCCGCTAATTGGGGGGCACAATAGATCTATATTTTCTGGTCGCGGTGTGCTGTTACCCCTTCTTTACAATCTAGTTATATATGAGAATAATAAGTATAAGAGATACAGATATAGAATATTTTCGAAAATATAGATTTGGAATGAAAGATAGTTGGAAGGCAATCACTCTATGCTGCATATATGATCTATTCTGACTATCAATTGTAGTTCATTAATTTCAAAACAAATATTAAAATTTCTACACTTTGGATTGCAAACTTAACACAATATATATATAAATAAATATGGCTAATAATTCTATTAAATTAATTAAATTAATATTAGTTATTCTTAAAAAATGTAGGTGACAACAATGAAAATTAAGCGCCAACCAATAATAAAATAATAATCATTAAAATATTAAAAATTATTTAAAATATAAAATTATTGATTAATTTCGAAAAAAAAAATTATCATGTATGTATGTATGTATACATATATAAAAATTCAGGGTTAAAAATTTCAAACATCTTAATAATTTTACGTTTCTTTAAATGCGATAAAAATCTATATATATATATATATATATATATATATATATATATATATATATATCAATAAATATGGTGTAATGAAACTGATAATTAATATGGTCAACTACTCCTCCTTCCGAAAGCTCCCGTCAACGTTGGCACACACATAAATCCCTGACAAGTCCAAAATTTTCAAATTTTCAAAATGAAAAGTTCTTGTGAAAATTTTTTTTTTTTTTTAATACAAAATTTCCTTCTTTTAATTGCTCTTCATATTAAAATTATTTTCCTTGTGTTTGTATATTAGTTTTCATAATTGACCTTTGAGAATTTGTAGTACTTGGAAAAAAAAAAAAATTATATTTAATTTTATTTGCCTTATAATGGTAATAAAACACAATGATAACATTTACAGTTAAATTGGTGAGTAATTTCATTCGGATTATAAGGTTGCTCGGAGGTTTGCTGAATAATTTTGGGAATTTTTTATTATAATCTGTACAGTAAGGAAATAACATTTATAAATTTTATTATTATGCATGAATTTAATATTAAAACAAATTGTTTTACCACTCTCCTACTCTCATTAACTTCTCCTGTTCTAGATTATTTTTTCTAATTTCTCCGCATATAGTACAAAAATTATTTGAAAGATGCCCGCTGAATTGTTTTACTTGTCATTTTAATTTTGTCAATTTTTACTCTCCCAAAATAGAAAATTTCTTTTTTTATCTTTTTCGTTTTTTGTGTAGAATTCATTCTTGAAATTTTAGTTTAGATTGTCATCGCCATGGATGTGATTTATAATTATTAAAGATCCAATAATTTTAACTTGTTTATTTTTTTTCACAATTTTATTTTTTATTTCCGCGTTTTGAACGGCATTTAATGTTAATACTTATATGTATATAATTATATAAGAACGTCTACCAAGGAGAATTTTATAAAATGAATTTAAAACAAATAATGATAACTTATCTTCTAACATTGTATTTGAAATGTGGGCTCATTATAGGTAAATATCATGTATATATAGCATAAATGCACATACATATAAGTATATTAGCGTTATATACTGAAAATGTATAAAATGTTGCAAAAAATTATGATTAACATTTTCTTGTTTTCTATTTTAAAAACAAGAGTTCAATAAATAAACTTGAATTTTTTATAAGGGTTCCGGAAAAAAAAATTAAAATATGGTAAAAATAAAAAATTACTTAAAAAATTTTCTCTTTTGTAGGTTTAGATTATGATATACTGACATGTTATGTATGTGATGATTGTCCAGAAATTGGTTATGAGCACTTATTACAATTAGAGAAATGTGAAGGTACAGATAAAATTTTAACAACAAGTTCAACAACTTCAACAACATTAAAACCAACAACTATATTAAAAACATCATCAACTACTATGTCAACAATACATAAAACTACAGAGTTACCTAGTAGTGCAAAAACATCAACAACTACAATCGATATAACAACATTAAATCAAGAAATTACAACAATTATAACTGAAACAAGTACAATTTTAAATAACGAATCTAGTTTAGAAACAACATTAACTACTGATGAAACGGAAATGGAACTCGAAACTGAAGGGGAAACTGATGCTTCAATAAATACTACAAGTCCAATTCAAATATCTTCTGAACAAACAACAACTGATATTTTTCAAAATAGTACAGTTACTCAAAAGAAATCCAGTATAAAAACGATTCAAACAACTAATAAAATAAGCACAGGATCACCAATAAATATGACTTCAAGTATTTCACAAATAAGTACAATTTCAATACCGAATAATAAATCAACTACAGAAGAAACAAATCAACATACTAATTACATGAATTCATCAACTACATTAAATCAAACACCGACAATTGAACAAACAAATACTACTCCAACAACAACACATAATTCAATTACTGATGACATAATAAATACTACAATGCCATCTACTACTGAATTAACAATTTTAAATTCTTCACAAATTATATCAACTACAGCAAGTTCAGTAACAGTCAATGCTACAAATAATTCTTATACTACAACTTCACCAACGATTCTCACAAATATAACTGAAAATTCAAATTCAACAACATTAAATGAAAACACAACACCAAGTATTTGGGAAACAACAAATACAAAAACTCAAATCAATTCAACTATTAGTACAATCAAAGGTAATACGACCCAAGTGAATATTACTAAATCAACAGTAGCTTCGACAACTATAAACAATGAAAAGAATCTATCAACAACTAACACAATTTTTCAAAATTCCAGTAGTAAAACATCAAAATCAATTTTTGATAAAACAACTATAACACCTATAACATCAAGTCAAATTACAACAGTAAAAATAAATGAGAAAAACACAAGTCTCAGTAATCAATCGAATTTCGAAATAATTTCGTCAACTGTTAACATCAGTGGAATAATATCACATACTACCGAAAAATTAATGTCAACATCTAAAATTATGTTTACAGATTCTAATAACAAAACAATAAATGTTACAACATCTCAACAATTGAATTCAACAACGAAATCAATAAATCATAAATTAAATAATTTACCATTACCAAGTACAACAAAACAATTGTTAAAAACATCAAATTCTGAAAAAGAGAAATCATTTACGTTATCTCTTAATTTTACAACAGGAAATCTCTTTACAAATAGAAATTCAACTTACTTCCATGCTAATAGTATAACAGAGCAAAATTTGAAGAATTCTTCAGGTATAAATAAAAGCGTTAATGACCCAATAATACTAGAACAAAATAAAAAATTCATTGCAAGAAATGGTAATATTATCGTAAGGCCTGAAAGAACAACATTTTTAATTACAAATTTTCCAATAACACAAGAAAACAGATTAAAAAATTTTAGGTCCTTTTCAAATACACGTATGAAAAAAAATTTAGAATATGCTGTAACTGAAATTACAAATGGAAGTAGTACGGAAGATTTCAAGTTAACAGTATTTAATGCACGTAAAAGATTAATAAAAGATAAGCCGGCCTGTTATAAAATGCGTTATTTTGGTAAATTTTCATTTCAAACACATATTTTATTACTAAATTTAATTGATTTCAAATAGATGTTAAGAATTTGGAATTTACACAATATTTACGTTAGGTGGCAATAAAATCAGAGTAAAATTCACAAATTAAGAATAATGAATTTTTAAGAGAATTAACAAAATAAGAGAAAATAATTTAAATAATATTCTCTTATGTAATTTTCTACGTAACAATATTAACAAAAGCATTTTACTTCAAATATCTCATTTTTTAATTAAAATTTCGTAAATCTACTGCATAGGTATTCTTAGTAAGAAGCTAGTTTTAGAATTATTTTCATTCTCGATTCAATTTTAATTATTTTACGAATTATTGTGTTTATTTTTATCAGAGCTGACCGTGTAGTAGTGAATAATTCACAATGCATTCTTTAAATTATTGTATTTACGATTAGTGATCTACCTAAATCTACCTCAATTTAAATAGATTAATTTATTTAGAATAAATATTAATCAGAATTTAAAATTAAAGCTAAAAATTTTCAATTTAATTGTATTAATAAATATTAAACATTATACATATAACATTAACATTAATTATGTAATACAACTACATAACAGTATTATACAGAAAATATGATGATCTATAAGTACCTGCATTAATAATATTATTATATTCCACTTAAACTTTTAAGATAAACCAGAATATCTAACATTACTGCAGAATTGTAAAAAATTTTTGAAATTTTAATATTTACAATATCTATGAATTTAAAGTAGAAGATTATTATATTACTCATTATCTTCAATTATGTAATTACGCTCTGTGTATAAGAATTGAAATTAATTAAATTGAATTTATTTATGTAAGTACGAGTAATTTGAACTATTTGTTTTTTAATTTTAGATAACAATAAAACAAAAATAAGACGTGGATGCACTTTTTATTCAATTGGTTATGCTGACACATGTACTAGAGTTGGAAATAAATTACAAAAATCATATGATCATTGTGAATTATGTCAAGGACATATTTGTAATAATACAAATATTATAAAATTATCATTAATATCTTTGATTTTTATGTTATTTGTATTTAATTTTATTTAAGTAATGGTATTTTAATTATATATTGTATTTATAAATTAAAAAATGAAAATGTTTATTTAAAATTAATAATATTATAAATTTCAATTCTTTCAATGCTAAATTCAATAAGTTAAAAATTCTTAAATGAATAATAGTTCTTAATTGAACATAGCTCAATGGACACGGCCGTATAATACGGTTCTTATATAGAAAATTCAATTATTCAATTCAATTAATAATTTATCCAAATTAAGTATGCACATTAACAGAAAATCTATCTAATTTGGAAGTCTATTGAGGTGTATTGAGCTTTAAAAGAACTTCCTTAAGCGATGTTGTTGACGTAATTTTAAATGTTATAGCTTTAGAAATACGGCGTTCCAATAAATCCCATAAATTTTCTATAAGTGCGTAACTGCTATGGCACATTGAAAATTAATCATTCTTTAACGATTTTCGCACAATATTTATAGGATCGTTATCTTGCAAATAGAATCAATTCACAAGAAAATGATCATTTAAATCGGTTTAATAATCTGAAACAGTTTTGATATTATGGGCTGATTAAGATATAAAGAATAATACATTTTAATGGGAAAAAGAAAACCAAGTACATATATATAAGTTATACGATATTTATTCCTTCTATATAATCAAAAAATTTTTATGATTTCTATATAGAAATCATATAAGTTATTTCTAAAAATGCATAAGATAAAATATTGACCTCGAATATTTATTTTTATCATGATTTATTAAATTTATTTAACAGAAAATTTTCAGTCACTCTAAGTACAAGAAACAAAAACAAAATTAAAATCTGGTCAAGGTATCATACTGAATTGATTTAGCCCTATAATGCAATACCGTAAAATCAAAAAATAAAAAAAAAATTTAAAAGTATTTTTAAAAAAGAAATTTTTGTTTAAAATAAAAATAAAAAAAAAACAAGTGAAAATAATTTTTAAAATACTATACAAGATACGATATACTATTGATAACAGGTACTGTTTACATACATATATACATACATACAACATATAAGCATAATTTATTGAAATTAACATTATTTACATACAAAAAATGTATACGATAAGAGTTAAAATCGATCATACACCTTAAACACACAAACAAAAAAAAACCAAAATTTTATTTTAGTTTTTTATATATTTTTTTTTTATTTTGTTATATTCGAAATTTTAACTTTTCATTTAGTAATAGCTTTACAATTAAATGGAAATGTTTAAGAAAGCAAACAAAATCCCAGAATTTTTTGTATACAATTAGAATTTAAAAATATTTAAAATATAAAATTATTTGCCGTTATACATACATACATATAATACGCAAATATTACGTGAATATAAATATATATTTTTATATATACATACATACATACAAATATATAAATTTAAAATTATTTTTAATCATTTTTCTAATATTCTAAAGATGAACAAGATAAAAGAAAATTTATGAGTCAACAATAAGTGCAGCATCCTAAAAATATGCAACATTTATTTGAAACATTTTAAAGAATCATATTATTATTATGATGGCTAATAATATTATAGAAAATTTGAATAATTTTCAATAAAATAAATGTAGAAACTAGCTACATACAAGCACTGTAAACAATACGCAGGATTCCTTCAATGCACAGCACCTATTTAATGAGAAATCATAAGGAAAATAAAATTATATTTATTTTTTATTTAAATTTCAATTATATTTAGCTAATTAAATTTCGTGCCAAAGTTATAATAAAAAATTGAAAGTGTTGAGTAAAGTATATAAGGTGAAAGTACTGGTTTCTTGTATATGTATATAGAATCACATAGAATTTGCAATTAGGATAAAATTGTAATTTATAAAAAAAAAAAATTATTATTTGCACTTAACATTTATAAAAGTGTTGTCTTCTGTAGCTTATATGAATATTATTTTCAAATTACATCAGCCCGGGTGCTACTTACTAGAAATTTAAATATTTTATAGTAAGCCAGCACACATAGAGCTAAATATGAAATTCGATTTTACTGCCTTATTATGAAATAGATTATGAAAATAAAATTCGATTTTACTGCCTTATTTATATTGATTGTGAACAATTTCATCACTTAAAATATTCGATTTTGACTAATAAATTTTTTTTATTTTAGATTTTTTTTTTTCTTCTAAATATTCATATATGTATTTTATATTTATGATACCGTAAATTTTGTACCTCTAGCTAAATTTTGTTTTCTTTAACCCAGCTAAGGTTATAAATTTTTCTATATAATATGAAAATTAAACAAAACTAAGAAATATGTGAAAATATTACGAAATAGAGCTGCGTACGGGATTGACGGAAATAGGTTTAGAAGTAGAGTGCTAAATACTAGAGAGTGGTTTTTTTTTACACGATTTTTTATTCAAAATTTATATGAAAATATAAAAATTTTATAATACGCGAGTATTTGTGAAAAAAATAGATATACCAAGCTCTTTAAAACTGAATGAACTTGTGTTACGATCAAAATTATAGAAACAAAAATTATTGCTATTTTGCAATATCGAAAATTATATTAAGGGTGCTACATAGTTAATCTTAGATTATATTATTATTTTAATGTTAAAACAAAACTATATATATATATATATATATATATATATATATATATAATATTATAATATAAAATACAATTTTTCATTTATTGCACATATATATGTATATAAATATTATATAATAAATAAAATTAAAACAGAAAGAAAATTAAAAATAAAGCTTTTTTTCAGCATTAATTTTACTTATCAGAATTTTGTTATATATATATTATACATAGTATATATACAAATAAATATACAAATAGGCATAATATATACAACATATTCTATATACATATATAATATTATAATATTTTTACAGTAATATACATGTATTATATATATATATATATCTACAGTAATGTGTATGTGCACATTTACGAATGCAAATATTGATAAAATCCTATAATAATAATAGTATTAAGTATTATATATAATGTATATATGTATGTATGTGTGTATATAAAAAAAATTAAACTCAATATGATTTTGTATTAATTGGAAAAATTTTCTTATATCGGATTTTTCCTTATCACTTTTTATATTGCATTTTTATAAAGTCTATATAAGTAGAAGCTTTCAGAATAACGGTTTTAGTATTAACGGAGCGGAGCGTTTTTTTAAAACGGAAAAAAAAAAACAAAAAAGAAAATAATTTGTAAAAATTTTTTTTTAACCCATTTTTTTTTTTTCGTCTAATTTTTCGATAATTAGAAAAAAAAAAAGTGTTCAAAAATGAAAATCGCATATATTTTAATTTTTTCACTCTTATTAATTAAAGGTGTGTGTAATGTTAAAATTTTTTGAATTAAATTAATAAAAAAATTTACAAATTTATAAAATATTAGAATTAGAATATTAATTTTCAAAAAATAAGAACCAAAAAGAACAAAAATCATAAGAAAATAGCAAAAATTTAAAAAAAAATTAAAATAATTAAAAAAAAATTGTTAATTTATTCTAGCCTCTTTAAACATACTAGAAACAATAAAAATGAAAATTTTCTTGAATTAATTGTGATAAAAAAAAAACTTTATAATTAAAATATATTCATTAACAATATTGGATAAAATTTGGACAAAAACTTCTTTCTGCTCTTTATAATATTAATTAACAAAATTCATTGTCATTGATAATTGCGATTTTCTTAATGTTTAAAGAAAAAGTCTCAAATCACAAATTTGATTAACAATCAAACTGAACTAATGAAATTGATTTCTTGAGAATTTCAAGAAATTTGATTTGAGGATCAAGAAAATATCAAATCAAAAATAATATTCCTACTATAAGTTAATTATTTAATTTCAAGTATTATAATTAAAAATTGAGATTTTGAACAAAAAATAAATACAGGATAATTTTTGAAGAGTGCGCTTTACCATATGCAGGGGGTTTTGCGTAAATTTATTTAATAGGTTTTACTGGTAAAGAGCTATGAGAGAAAATAATTGTATAGAAGACTTTTATTTCTGATTGTAATGCTAATATGAAAAAGAGATCGCAAAGAGCAAAATGTCAATAAATGTTACCTGAAGTCATTATATTATCCTATTGCGGGAGTACTGTTGAGTCCCAGATACCATGTATACATAACAAATTTTCTTTTCAATTACTTACGAGCTTGGAATATCAAAACTTCTTAAATTCAACCAAAACTAAATTCTTTTATTTAAAAAAAAAAAAAAAAAAATTAATTGAAAATTTAAAATTTTTGTTTTTTTTTTAATAATTTTCAAAAAAAAATCTTTCTAATCAGTCGATTCGAAAATATTTTTAATCATTGTAACAATAAATCATATTCACTTTAATCAAGGCTATACCACTGCCTTGTTTAGTATTAAACCAACGCCTGGCTTTCTTTTAATGAATTTAAAACAAAAATGTATAGGGTTTATGTGAAGAAAAAAAAAAAATTTTCACCGTCCATTTATGTTTTAAGTCATTTGCATCGAAAAATAACTGAAAAGATTTAGAAAGAAAAGTTGGGAAAGAGTGACGTTTTCATTCAACACGAATTTTCTAAAAAAAAAAAATATGCTTTCAAAACTTTATAGAAATTAAATCGATACAGAACTTCTTCATTGTCAATAGGGTCCTAAGCTTAATTATCAAATAAAAATCAAAATAAATTTTAAATTGAAAAATGTTCATAGGGTAAATTCACCGAACTCTAAACATATTTTCTTTTTATCACAAATCTTTATTCCAAACATCGTTGTATTGAAAAATATATTGGTTATTTATAATAATTTAGGGCTAATTTATAACTAACATAAAATATGTTCGACAAATCAATATTGTAATGACATCTACAAAAATAGGATCTGCGAAAATTAAACAAACAAATAGGATCAAATTGTTCAAGAATTTCTTTTTCCAAATTTAAAAATAATTTCAAGAGAAAATAAATTGAGAAAAAATATATGAATTATAACAAACTTCTTTACTTTACAACAAACACAAAAAAATTTACTATATTCCATGTTACACTTTTCATTCAAATTAAAAATTTTGAAGAATTTTTTATTTTATTTTCAAAATTAAAACATGATGAATTTTGGTTATTCGATAGGTTGGCTTCATCAACCCATACCATTACTCATACTCATATATTGTAGTTTACAATACTTAAAAATTTTCTACGAGTACATAAAAGTTGAAATTTTCCTCTAAAATTTAATTATTACTGTTGTATAGAGAAGATTAAAAGTTATGAAAAATATTTTTAAGACATGAATTTATGGTACCGAAATTTTTTTTAATAAATGGTTTCCGAGTCATCACTGAGTTTTGAATCATTAAACTCTATATATGTATAAACATAATTAAAAACATTAAATATAAAATATATTGAAACTTGAACTGAACTGAACTGAAACAAAGACATTTTTGATTTTCATATTATACACAACAACATCTTTTATATATTCACAAAGCATATACATATATGTATATAGTTAAAATGAAACTAAAGCTAAAAATACGTATAAAATCATTAATAAAATTTTAAATATTTTCACAATAAATTTTGTATGTACATATTGAATTTTCAGTTAATGCTCAATTAATATGCTATGATTGTGATGATTGTGATAGTATAAAAGACGACACGCGTACTAAGAATTGTGAAGAAGACGATAATTCATCCACTTCAAGTACATCAACAACTAGTACAACGAGTACAACCAGTACAACAAGCACAACCAGTACAACAAGCACGGAATCATCAACGGATTCAAGTACCGATTCAACCACGCAATCATCCACAGAATCATCAACAGATTCAAGTACTGATTCAACCACACAATCATCCACGGAATCATCAACGGATTCAAGTACTGATTCAAGCACACAATCATCCACGGAATCATCAACGGATTCAAGTACACAATCATCCACGGAATCATCAACGGATTCAAGTACTGATTCAAGCACACAATCATCTACGGAATCATCAACAGATTCAAGTACTGATTCAACCACACAATCATCCACGGAATCATCAACAGATTCAAGTACTGATTCAACCACACAATCATCGACAGAATCATCAACAGAATCAAGTACACAATCATCCACGGAATCATCAACGGATTCAAGTACTGATTCAAGCACACAATCATCTACGGAATCATCAACGGATTCAAGTACACAATCATCTACGGAATCATCAACAGATTCAAGTACTGATTCAAGCACACAATCATCTACGGAATCATCAACAGATTCAAGTACTGATTCAACCACACAATCATCCACGGAATCATCAACAGATTCAAGTACTGATTCAACCACACAATCATCGACAGAATCATCAACGGATTCAAGTACTGATTCAAGCACACAATCATCCACGGAATCATCAACGGATTCAAGTACACAATCATCCACGGAATCATCAACGGATTCAAGTACTGATTCAACCACACAATCATCCACGGAATCATCAACAGATTCAAGTACTGATTCAACCACACAATCATCCACGGAATCATCAACAGATTCAAGTACTGATTCAACCACACAATCATCGACAGAATCATCAACGGATTCAAGTACTGATTCAAGCACACAATCATCTACGGAATCATCAACTGATTCAAGTACACAATCATCCACGGAATCATCAACTGATTCGAGTACACAATTAAACTTACCTGATGGAAATGAAATTGATGGCTTTCAAAAATATGCACGTTTTGGAAAATTTCCTAATGTTATCCAACGATTCCGTAGAGCTGTTAATTTAGATGAAAAGACACACTCGTGTTTTAAAATTAAATATAAAGGTAATATATATATCTATAAGTAAATACATATATATGTATATAACATTTCCAATAAATACACATTTAATTTTTAATATAGATGGCAATGGTAATACAATAACAAAACGAGGATGCGTTAAGAATGAAGAAGATGCTTGTAAAAAACTTGAATCAAATCTTCAAGATGCTAGTGAGTGTAGTGTTTGTAACGATAAAGATAAATGTAACGGAAGCAAAGCACTTAGTATTTCATTTGTAATGGTTTTAGGAATGTTTTTAATCGGAAAATATTTTCATTAAAATTTTGATAAATTAATTTTTGGAAAAATAAAAAAATAATATTTCATTTCGTTATGACAAAAAATTGCCTTAAAATCTATAATTGCAAAGTTATAATTTATATATTTTTTTATTTATATATTTATGTATGTATATTCTGTTATGTAATAAAAGTTTAAATTTTTTTTGTTAATGTAGGTGTTTTTATCGAAATAGAACTTTAAAATCTTTGAAAACAATCTTTCCCTGGATTTTCAATATTTCCCTTTAGCATCCAAATGCTTTTCTATTTCCAAATTGAGATTTTGATATTTTATTTCTAACTTTAGGTTATTTATGAATGAACATTTATGTGTCATTTTATTTGTTGTACAATATTAGAAATTTCCAAGACAAATCTTGATAAATTGAAGACCCATAAAGAAAATAAGGTAATCGACAACTTTTATACTTTTAGTAACTTGTGACAAATTTTAAATTTCAAAATTTGATAACGTATATCTGATACTCGTATATGGTATTATCGGATATTAAAATAGAAGAAAGAAAATATAATCACATTTTCAACAAAATTAGGTATTACTTTCATCCTTTACCCCAATTCACAGAAACTAATATTATTGAACTTTACTTATGTCTCATGGCATGCTTTTATATCATAAATTTCAGCTTACGAAGCAGTTTTCTAATATCTTTTTAATTTTTTTAAAATTCTTAAATTAAAAAACGCTATCCCGACCTAAAATTTATTAGATACAGAAAAAAAACAAACTAAGACGTGAAGGAAAAGAGATGGCAGAAAGTCAGATATCTATAGGAGTAATTTTAGAGGGTTAAAGAAAATCGGAAAAAAATTTCTGTTTACAAAGTTCCATAACAGCTTGCAAGCGTAGTGTTGTTAGGATTTTTTGTTAAAGCATTATATTTGAGATATTTCCTCATTTTAATTATAGTCAAATATGACTCTGTTATATCATAAAAGATTTCTTCATTAATTGTATTATGGATTTTAATTTACACCGTTTCTATCTCTTGCGAATCGTCTTGATATCTTAGTCATTTCTTCATACAGAACACTGCTTCTATAATATTTTGATATTATATTTCACTTATTTACGCTATCTAGCATTGTTCGCATGACATCTTCTAATATTATATTCCTTTTGTTGTCTTTAATTACAAATCTATCCATTTTGCTACCATAATGTTTCATCAATTACAAAATATATGCAAATGGTGCTCCCTTCTTTACACTACCATTGTTCGGATGGCTGCATTCACGATTCTTTACTTTTTTATCACGGCAGCAAAATGTCCATCTCCTGAAAAAAAATACCTGACATAAATAAAAATACCTGTGTGATTTAGTCCCTGATTTTACCATAATGTTTATATTCAACTGAACTGTCAATATCAGGTATCAATGCTGCCGTTCATCCGCTTCTGTAAAATGGTAACAAAATGAAATTTATTTTCAATAAAACAATCGTGTTTCGTTATTCTGCAAAATAAGTTAGCAACTAACCATACAGAAAAATAATTAGTAATCGAAATAATATTAAAATTGATATTTCTTAAAAACATTTAAGAACTCATTGCAAAAATAATTTTTTTTTTAAATTTTATTTCCATATGTACATACAGGCCTTTGCTACAAAAAACTTAAAGAAGGGACTTAATAAACTTTTCAACGGTGCAACTGTTGACTGTGGCGCCTCTTGTGACGATCATTAAAAACTCATATGAAAAATGAGAAACATTTGAAATCTGTCATTTTTTCTTTTTTAACTAATTGATTAAAAACTGATAAGAATTTTTTTTTTGACAAATTCTGACACGCGTATGAAACAAATTGAAAACGAAAACCTGTTAAAAAAATTATATTTTTTTCAGCTGTTCGGAAAACAAATTTGAAATGAGAAAAATTTTAATTTTACTCAGTACATACATTCGTATGTATGTATGTATTTATAACAGTGAAACGTTAAATTAAAAAAAAAAATTAATAACTTAGGTTTCATGATGATACTTCGTAACATTGAACACAAATCTACATATTCGCATAAAATAGGAAACCAAATTTTTTTCGAGTTTTCGGTGGGAATGTACTTCTCCATAGTAGGGAAGTGTAAATAAACTATTTTTAGCAACCTGTCGGTCTGTCGGTGTGTCGGTCTGTCCGTCATGGAATTTCTTGAAATTTGATATTTGAGTTCTGGTAGCACAAAGCGAAACTCTACTAAGAGCCAAATTTACATTTTTCTAAGTATGTTAACTATAAGCTTACTAATGTCCTAAAAATTGGAAAGAAGTATTTAACAGACATTTTTATAATATTCTGTAACACTTTCATTTAACTAGACAATACACAATGCGGTTATGTGCTGACCACATCAGATTTTTTTTTATTGTTCTCCATAATTAAAATTAAATTCCTTAAAGTTAAAGGAGATATGATGAAATTTTCCGAGCAATATTTACAAATTTTGATCGAAAATAAATTTTTTAGCATAAAAGAAAAAAAAAAATTTTAACATAGCATTTGCGAAAAATCTAAAATTAAAACTTGGCTACCAATTAAATTAATATTTTCTTTATGTGTTTATCTATGTAACGTAAAGGTCAATAAATAAGTTTGTTTGAAAATTTTAAATTAAAAATTTGACATATCTACGAATTTACTTAGAATTTATGAAATTTTGCATTTGATAAGACAAGTCAATTTCTAAACTATTGAAAAGTGCAGAATAAAAAATAATTAATTTTTTTTTTAATTTTAGTATATTTTAGAATTTATAGAAATTTTTTAATAAATTTTTATTTCTGCAATATACACAATTCAAAAATAGAAGACATAAAATTAAAAATTGATTTAAAAACGATTTTACAGCTTCCTTTCTCTTATAATCTTGAAGTCACCCAGTATATATAATATGTAAGCATGTTAGTTAATTTTATTTTATATAATATTTACATTAATTTACAAAATATTTAATTTCTTAATAAAATATAAATTTACAAAAATTGTATATCGTATCGTATATGTAATAATTTTAATAACATGTTCAACAGAATATAATTTTAATATATTTAAAATATTTTTACTCAAATTATTTTAATTTAACAATTTCTTTGTTATAAATGCACATGTTATTAATAAAACAGTTGATATTGAATTAATAATTGCACTGTTAAAGACTTTCCCATTGCATAAAGTCTCATTTTTGCATATTAGACAACCATTTTTATTTTCTAAACATTTGGCTTTTTCACTGTCCTCTAAAATTTCTGCACAACCACGGAATGTTATACCAGCTAAAAGAAAAATACATAAATAAAATAAGTTTGATAAAAAGACTTTATACATATATATATATATATATCGGAATATTACGATTTAGTAATTCGATGAAGAATTTAACAATCACATCGTAAGACGTTTAGTTTTTCCGTCCTAATTTTAACGTTCTAATTTTGCGTCCTAATTTTGCTTCCTAATTTAATTTTACTAATTTTAAAAGTATTAAAGGTAAACAAACGTATTTGTACTCTAAACATAATGATTAATTAAAAGGAGTCAGGAATATTTAAATTTATATACAGAATGATAGAGTAATTAGTGACATAACATATACCATCATTTAAGGCATTAAAAATGAATAAAATTCTTGTTCACAACTAGGTATTAAATCTCAACGGTATCTGAGATACAGGGATGTTCACGAAATTTCTATTTATCCAAGTTTTTTCGATTATAGCTTTCGATTATAGATTTTGACTCCGAAAAAGATAGGTGCTTCAAACAACCAATTTCTATGACAGACCTTAAAACAGCTTAAAATAAACATGTCACTTGATTTTATTATTAGTCTTTACTTCTCTATACCATGATTTCAATGCAAAACAAGGGTTCCTTTTAAAAACTACTCCTAAATACTTCTAATAAGAAAAACAGTAATCAATATTCGATTAAGAAATGGAAAACTAAACATTTTGCAGTTATATTCTTGTATTGTTAAGAAAGTATTGTAGGAAAGGGTGTTTTTTCTTTTGAAATATCAATATTTTGAAAATGTACCCGGCATCAAAAACACGTCAAAGAAGATTAAAAAATCTCTTGATTATTTAACAAGAGAATAATGTTACTTACCCCAACGTTCAGCAAAACAACCTTCTATTGGATTTTTACATTCTTTTTTATCAACTTTTTGTTTATTCTTCTCTGGTTCTTCACATTCTTTAAAAGCATCACTTCTACATTCATAACATGAAAATTTATCATTAATTTGTCCATCATCATTATTACAAGGCTTATCATTATCTGTATTTGTACAATTTTTACAATCTGATGTATCACATTGTATTCCAGATTTTGCTAAGCATCCTCGGGTAACATCTTGATTAACAGTTTTAGTAAAACAATGTAAATTGCTACTTTTATTTAAATATTGACAATATTCAATTTTTGTTTTTTTTTCATCAACTTTTAGGCAATCTGATCCTTTGCAAACATAACATTTTGGTCTTGTTTTTGGTAAAATTTGTACATTACAAGGAATATTTTCTCCATTATTATCTTTACATTGTACGCAATTATCTGTATTATCTTTACAGAAGTCATCCGATGCACAACCTCTTTTAATTGTTCCATCAGCTTCTACAAAAAAAAAAAAAAATATATAAATTGAAAATTATATACAATAATACAATTAAATATCATATAGTATATTCTATATACTATATGATATTTCTATATACTTTTATGTATATTATATTAATTAAAATATAAGAATAGTAGAATTGTAACCGTATATTAATTAATTATGTTTCAACATTATAAATGGAACGGTTAATTAATAATACGTTACGAAGAAAGCACCTACACGATTCAAATTAATAATTTACGTATATATATATATATATATATATATATATATATATTTATATGTAACACAAAGGCTAATAAGAATCTAAAGAATATATTTTTATTATTTCCAATACAAGAATTTTCATTTTATGATCCTAATATTGGCAAGAAATATCTTTATTATAATTTTATTAAATTACCTTTAATATATTTCTTAGTATTTTTGTTTTATTAATAACAGTACATTTATCAGTATTATCTTTTAATTAGTCATCGTCCGATAATTTTATAAATATAATCAGAAAAATGTTAATTTAATGATTTTTTTTTTGATAAGAAATTAAAATAGAAATCAGGTGCAAACAAAAGAATTATGAAATTTGGCAAAAAAGAAATTTTTTTTCAAAATTTTTAGGAAATTTTTATAAATTTCAAAAATTCTTTCAGTGTTATTAAAGAAATACTGCAGCTTAACCTATTTTACTTTCATTGTAGTTACTAAACATTGTTATTATTATAAACTGTTATAAAATGTTTATATAATATGCAGTAACAAATATTAATATACTCAGAATTTGGAGAATTTTGAATATTTTACAAAATTATAGAGCTAGCCTATAATTTTAAATTTTATTAAAAAAATATTTTTAAACAAACACTCCTTTGATATATCCAAATAATCGTAGACGGTAACTCTGATTAATCTGATAATACATAATGTTATATACTTGGAGTATACTCGTACGTATTATTTATTCTATAATATGAGTCTACAAAAACTGATTCTGTAAAACTTCAACAATGAATTACTCTACAAAATATGATTATAGAAAAATTTCTCTAAAAAATTTGAATATTTTTATAATTTTTCTATTTATGAATATAATGTAGGTATAGGTGCATATACATATATAATCACATTACCTAGTTGAACGTAGCATTGTTGACCTTTTTCTAAATCACATGCCACATTTTTCGTTATAAATTCTGGTGCAGTTGTACAATTTTTGTCGCTGTTGTCGCATTCAATACAATTAATCGCTAAACTATAATTGTTATTAAATATAACTATTATTAAAAAAATAACTATTGAATATAATTTCATAGTAAAATTCATTCTTTAAATTTTTTAAAACAACTAATAAAAATTTAATGCTTAAGCTATTGCTTTATTTGGTTTTGCGCTCAATACGCTTTCACTGAACACTTTTGATTAATGACTAATTTATTGAAAAAAATTTTTTATCATTATTTTTAATTTACTTAACTCTTAGTGAATGTTTATAAAAAGAAATAATGAAAAAATAAAAAAAAAAAAAATAATATCGATAATAATGATTACGCCTTTATAGTAAGGGATAAGATAAGATGAAAAATAACAGTTTTGTTTTTTGAATAATACGCACATAATAATATATACCTGCTTATCTTATTGTTTTGTTGTATGCAAGCTAAAATTTTTATTTAGGTATGAAAAAATTGCCTTTTCGCTCTTTTGATTTAAGGCTTAAAACTAAAAATATTTAGACTAAAAGTATATTATAAGTATATAAGTATGGGAACAAATTTCTGCTTTAATCGTTGAATTCTTGTGCCAGACATATAACCCTAAAAAGGGTGGACAGATTGAATAATATCTGTTTGGCTGCACCGATGGGCGGCGTATTTAAATGTTGATGTAAAAAGTTTTGCATTTTATATTAATTTATTTTCAAATTTTTATGTCAAAACCTTATTCTATTATGTACTTTTACTACACTGTACTATGTACTTTTACTATGCGGTACTATCATATCATAACTATAAAATATGTGTTCGTGAAACAGTAGAATTATTGTTTCTAATTTGTCGACAAAACTTTTTCAAAATATAATTTTTAAGAAAGTAGAATGGTAGGTATAAATAGAAAAGTTTCGACTTTAAAAACTGCTACTAGTTTATATAGGTTGCTTGCCGAAAGCATTTGCAAATTATAAAATTTTATTTCGCTCTTCTAATTAATAACATTTACCACATAAGAGGCAAAGCTCGAAGTCTTATAGTTCACCAAATCTTTTCTCACAAATGCAAAAAGTCGTATAGTTTATAGTTGTTAATTCTTTTTTTTTTTATGCAAATTATTTCAATTTTTTACAAACAAAGTTTAATTATTAGTAATCTGTTATAAATATTTTAAAAACTATATTAACACACCCTGCAAAATTTAATCATTATTTAAAAGTGTTCTATTGACTAACAGATGTCGCACCTATTTGATTAAAATGTTGGTAAAGTAATACATTGAAAAAGTTAAACAAATTTTTCTGAAATTTTTTAAAAATTATATATGTATATTTTTTTTTAATTATCAGGCGGGTTAGTTTTTATTATATGACAACAGATTATCTAATCAATAAAATTGAATATACATAGATACGGTGTCTATGATATAAATAGTAATTTTTAACAGATTTCGAGTTATAACAGGTAACATTAACAATAACCATGTATAGAATGGAATGTTATTTTCTGAAGAATTTTACAAAGCCTACATAATATAAATTTCCTTTTTTTCTTACTATGGTGTTTTAAAAGATATGAACAAAATTATGAATTATCTATTTGAATTTGATTTTTTAAAAACTAAAACTATTTTAAATTTTCTAATCTAATCTACAAATATATTTGAAACTATTGTGAATATTTAAAAAATTTTCTATATTTGAATACAATATAACATGAATAAAATGAACACTTTTATTTATTGAAATAACTTTTATTAGCACTTTTCCAAAAATTTTGGAAAAATTTTGAAAAAAAGTGATTATTAGTTTCACTCTGTCCGTCTGTCCGTCCGTCCGTTTGTCCGTGTGTCTATTTACAAAACTTCTACACCCTTGAAGATAGAAAGCTGAAATTTTATATGTACATAGATGTTTACTAGAAACTTATTTCCGTAGAACAAAATTTTTACCTATCTCCCCCCCTCTAGAAGTTATACCCCTCCAAAACCCTAAAAATGCCATTTTTTAACTATTTAGTGCAGTGAAACCATTTTAGGGGCTATATTTATAAGCATTTTTGAAATTTTGCAAACGCAGAAAGGCAGTGGCTTGTATCTGCTATTGCTGTATACTATAGTTAAACCTAAGAAAAACAAAATGGCCGTTCAAATTTACCGTTATCTAAAGTCCGTTTTTTTCCAAATTTTTGATGTCGTTTTTCTTCTAAATCCCAACCTGTAGAAGCCTGAAATTTTAGGGGCTTTTAGACACTAATAAGTGCTTCATTTCGTTAGAAGAAAATTTTTCTCCATTTCCACCTTCTCTCAAGTTATTGCCTCTTGAAATTTGTAAAATTAACCCTTAAAATCGAGCATTATGTTAACTCCACTTAACCTTGGCAAAAAATTAAAAATTTTTTGAAATTTTACACGACCCCCTACCATGGCAAAAAATTAAAAATTTTTTGAAATTTTGCACGACCCCCTACCTTGGCGAAAAAACAAAAATTTATTGAAAATTGAAATAAAACCTTTTACGTAACATTTGACACATATTTTAACTAAGTTCCATATTTTAGCTAAGATGAAGAGTTATTGAAATTAGTTCGTGCAGAATTGACGCGCATATAGAGATGTGACTCTATACATGAAATCTGTATACATGGAATCTTTTTATCGAGATTCAACTGTAGACTTATAGATACACATATGAATATGAAAATATACACAAGTAATTAGTAAATTAATATTATTAATATATAAATGATTAAATTTATTCGATTATCTTAAAAAAATACTGTAAAAATTATCTTATCTTTAATAACTTTAATCATTTTTCTAAGGTGGAGTAATTTGTAATAAACAAATTTTCAATAGTAATATAATTTTATTCATTAATTCATTTTCTGCAAGTATAGAAGTTAGATGAAAGTAAATAAATATCTATTTACATATACACACACATATATACAATAACTTTTAAGATGAAGAAATTTCAAATAAATATTTTCATATTAATAATACTATTTTTTGTGAATAAATCATCAGCTAACACTTGTTTATCATGTAAACCAGAAGAAATCGATTGTACTATAGATCCTACAAAAATTAAAAATACTGTACCATGTAATTTTCCTAGTCAAGTTTGTTTTGTTAGAATGGGTATGTATATATACAATAATAAATAAAAATTAAAAATATCATACATCTATGCATTAATTGCGATTTAAATAATATCAAATTGTTAATACTGTAGTTTTAGTACATTTGCTTTGCTGAATTAATTATATATTTAAATGTTTCCACTTTACTTTATATATTACAAATATTATAATTTGAAAATAATAATTTGGAACACAAACGTTAGTTACATATATACCTAAACAAACTCCTTTATAAAGAAAATGATTTTAAAAATATTTTGAAATTTTAAAATTTTTGTACTCATTCTCGTTTTATTTGTAGAAAATTATAATAAATGTTCCAACATAATCCGTTGGTTATATACGTAAACATTAAAATTTGAATTATCAATATATATATGAATGTACGAGTATAATGGTGTCGCCGGAACAAAAATCTAAACAACATGATCATCCGTTATAATGAATTTACAAAAATATGTTACAGATTTCGATGACGTCATTTCACTCAAAGGTATTTTAAGTCAATAATGACTCAAAATATAGCTGTCATATACCCATATATATATTGAAGTTGTATTTCTTCAGTTTACATTTATTGCTGCTCTTTAGATTTTCTTTAAAATAAATTTCGTAATATTTTAGTTTCATTTCAAATTCTACAAATATTTTTACGCAGAGTTCGATATGTCCGAATATTTTTACTGACTGTATTGCATACAATAGGGGAGGTTGTGGGATGGCACCAAATTTCGAATGTCGAGTTTTCGCTGGGAACGCGCTTCTCCGTAGTATGGAAGCTAAATAAACTACTTTTAAAGAGATTTCGGTGTGAGTGCGTGTATCACAAGCCCGATTTTACATTTTATCGCATATAAAGAGAAATAATCAACCAATATCCTTCAAATTTAATATTTGAGTTTTGGTTATTACCGAAACTAACTGACAAGCTGTTCAAGAAATTCGAATTACGCAAAGCAGGACTTTGCTAAGAGCCAAATTTACATTTTTCGAGGAACGTTAACTAAAACCTTACTAGTGTCCTTAAAATTGTAAAGAAGTATTTAAAACGAATTTTCATAATCTTCTGCAACACTTGCATTAAACACAAAAATATACACTACAATCGGTTGTGTGCTCATAATATCAGTTTTTTTTTCTTTCTTTAAGTTGCACGAAAACATTAATATTAAAAATGCAACGTTTCATTTTAATTTTATTATAATTTTTATTTTAATATATTATTTTATTAATTGAATTCAATTTTTAACTTAAAAACAAAAAAGATAATGAAGGACGTAATATAAGAGGATGTACAGAAGAGGAACAATGTAAAAATGATTGTTTACCATGCGCTAATCGAAATTGTAATCAAGATATTTATCCATTTAAAAGACCAGTTTGTTATCAATGTAACGGTACTGAATGTGCTAATCCAGCAGAAAATATTAAACCTGAAAGATGTTTATATCATAAAAATGAACAACAACATGATTGTTATAGAACAAAGAATGAATTTTATGTAAAAAGAGGTTGTGTTGCAAATGTTACACAAGAAGATCTTAAATGTCCAGGATATAATAAAAATTGCACCTTAGATTATTGTTCACATTTTGATCAAGATAAAGGAAAGCCATGTAATTTCTTACCAGTTGAATTAACATATAAATGTTATGGTTGTAATAGTAATGAAATATCAAATTGTGCAAATGAATTTACCGAAACTATTCATGAAATTTGTAAAGAATATAAAGGATGTTATGAGCGATTTGTTGGTAAGATTTAAAAAAATTGCATTTTTTAAATAAATTCTATTTATATATTTCGATTTTTAGATGGTGTCGCATATCGTGGTTGTGCTTCAAGTTTATCACCTGATGAATTAAATCAATGTAAGGATCCTAATAATGCAAAGTGTCGTTATTGTGATTCGCCTGTTTGTAATTTTGAAGAAATAAATGCTGCCAATATGATCAAGTATACGAGTATAAGTTTTCTTCTTTCGATTTTAAGTCTTTTTAAATTAATTTAAAAATTAAAGCAAAAGCAAAAATTCATTATTTTAAGAATTTTTTTGTTATTCTTAAATTTGTAAATTTTATTATATTTTTTTTTTTTTTTTTTGTTTAATAAAAAAAATTTTTATACTAGTTTGAAAATTAAGAAATTAATAATTATATTTTTCATTACAAAACTTAATTTTATTCGCATTGAAATTTAAACTAAGTTGTTTTTATATTTTCGCACACCAAGTTTTAATTATTTTTGTTTTAAATATACAAGATTTTATTTGAATTGGAAAAAAAGGTTTTAGAAATTTTTTCTTAAATATATAAAGTAAATGTTACCATGACAGCGCAGTACCGTCAGTAAAAAACAATATTAGAAATTTTTACCTTGCACTTAAATATCTTGGAAAGTAAAAAAGTCTTGGACACAACTAGTACATCAAAGGTACATGTTATATTTTCTGACTTATCGGAATGTTATATTTTCCGACTTAGAGCCCACATAGCCCGAGAAGAAGAGCCTACTATGGAAAATGTCACTCGAGGATTTTAGTCGTTCTTCTGAGTCTGTGTATTTGGAGGAGAGTGCTTTCGAGTCTCGGTTTTGTAGTTGACAAATTAATAAAATGCCTACCAATTCAAGTTGAAGACGTCTATAAAATAAAAAGAAATAACGATTAATAAATAATATTGGAAAACACAAATCTAATTCAAAACAAATATAAAAGAGAATGAAAAATTGATAAAAGACACTTTCAGTTTTAAATATAAGTACGAGACTTTTCTAAATTTTCAACATTTTTACATACGAATAACAAAAAGAAAGGCACACAAAAATAATTTTAAATTTAATCTATATAAATAAATTAAAATTTTTAAATATGCAACCTTATTTATTTAATAATTAATTTTAAACGATTGTGAATTTTGATATCATTAAATTAGTTTTTGATTGATCCACATTTTATAATTTCTTGTATATGCAGAAACTAAAATTTCTACTTTTGACTTGGGAACCAGTCTACTCTAATATCATCTATAAATACAAAATTTAAAAATTGTTCTATAGAAAATTTTAGTTCTTCATATTTTCAAGTGATATTTTAAAAATTTTTAAGTGCCAATATTCATCGGCATGTAAAAACATATACGAATTTCTACACACACCCAAATTGAAAAATTTTAATAAAATAATATTTTTGTATTTACATGTATACATAGGTATTACATATAATATACGTTATGCGCAATGTTATTTACATTGTATTAAAGTTTCGAATAAAGTATCACGATAATCAATAATCTTAAAGATGATAATATATAACAGGGATCGGCAACCTTATTCAGACGGCAGAACATTTTCAAAAAAAATTTTTTTTATGCGGGCCGCATACTCAAGTGTTACTTAACTAAAATGAGATTCAAATATTTTATCATATTCACTTTTATGTTTCGAGTCGTAGTTACTTAACGACGTAGCGACGCAATTAAATTCATTGAATACACTTGTAAATTCTTTGTAAAACAAGCACAAAGTTTTTATGTTATCATTAACATACAGAAGTAAATTATATAGAAAAATGAAAGAATACTATATGGCTATACTTTCTAGTAGAGAGTATGGGGATTTAATTTCCGCAGTATGATAGGTTACCCACTAAACTTCTGTTAGAGCATGTTATTCTTGCTGGTAACATTTCGCAATGGTCACTCTCCAATTTGTTACAAAAGGTTGTTAAGTGCAGCATGCGAGTCACAAGTTGCCGATCCCTATATACTAATGGTATAATAATATTTTGGATTAATGTATAATCAAATACATTATTTTGCAAATTTACAACTGTTATAATATTGTAATCGAAGCTAAAATAAAAATTAAATTAAACTTTGCAAACATTGATTTTTGTAAATAGTAATTTAAAAATTAATTTAAATTAATAAAATTCAGTTTTGAATTTCTAATACTTAAAACAGTATTACATTAAGTTTTTGTATATAACAGTTTTGTAAATACCGATGATTTTTATTTAAGTAAAATATATATGAATTTATTACAGGTTGAAAATTTTCTTAAATTGTATAACAGATTGATTATATTCTTAATTGTATAATATTATATGGGAGAACTATTATACTAATATCTTAGTATTAATAAAATTTTATTAGCATTTATATTACAGTATGTATAATAAGTAGGTGCCAATATTTTTATCAAAATTATATTCGGCATTAGTTAATCTCAATTATAATAAATATAACACTCTAAAAACTCATTATTCACAATTCAGATTAGAATGTAAAACATTATAATTTTTATATGCAATGTATTATACATTATATTATTTTTTATTTAAGTATGTATAACAACTTTTTTTTTGATTGTATACAAACAAGTTTTTGAAAATTTTTCCAAGTATTATGTAAATATGTTATATAGGCATAGATAAATATTTCATATAAATGTATGTGTAAGTATGTGTATATTTTATTTTGATCCATAAGCCAAAATAATCTAAAACTAAAACCTTTGTACATACATACATAACAACATTATTTTATCTTATCTATAGTTTTATTTCACACAAATATAAAAGTAAAATAATAAAGTGGAATATATAAAATACTTTGTAATAAATTTTTGAATAAAATTAATATTGAAAAAGAAAATAAACCTCATTTATGACTTTAAAGTCCTTCCTAATAGTCAATATCAGTGAGAAGAGTATAGGAACAAAATAAAAATGAAATATAAATTTTCCTTGAATATAACAGTTGCATTTATATTACTATGCAATTTCATAAATATTTATGCAGATGTCGTTGAGGACAAATGCCTGTTATGTTCAGTAGATGAAAAAAATTGTACTGTTGATCCATTGAGTATGATACACAAATCTGTAAAATGTGATTTCACTAAACAGGTTTGCTTTACTAAAACAGGTAAAATAAAAAAAAAAAAAATTTATTTTTTAATATTTAAAATTTATAAAATACAAAATTCAATTAAATTTTAAAATAATCTTCAAAAAAACAGATGACACTGGTCGAAATGAAAGAGGTTGTATTGATAAAGATAAATGTACAGAAAAATGTACAGCATGTGATAGTACATTTTGTAATGATAGAATTATTCCTTATAACAGGCCAGCTTGTTTTAATTGTCAAGATTTAGATTGTGCTGATCCTATTGGAAAGAAATTACAACCAGAATATTGTTTATATTATGATGCTTCATCACTAGTTGATTGTTATGTTACAAAGGGTGATTTTGATGTTAAACGTGGATGTTTTGTTGGTGCATCCCAAGAAGATTTTGAATGTCAAGGTTTTAGTAAAAATTGTTCTAAAACTACATGTACAAATAATAGACTTGATAAAAGTAGACCATGTAATGTAGTACCAGTTGTATTAGGATATAAATGTTATAGTTGTAATAGTAAAGATAATAATCGTTGTACTAAAAAATTTAATGAATCAATTTATGAAGATTGTTCAGCTCGTAATGGATGTTATGAAAAATATGCAGGTAAATTGAAATTCATATTCTTGAAAAATTAAAATAATAAAAATTCAGAAACAATTTTTAATAATACAATTAAAATGTTTAAAATATTTAATTTTATTATTTGAATTTCAAATGTCAATTTGAATAAAAGTGAATTTAATAGAAAATTTTATCAATTTAAAGTTGATCCGAATTTAAAATTTTAATTCTTTATTTTAATAATTAAAATATCTATATATGGTATAGATGGTGTAGCAACACGTGGATGTGCATCCAGTTTAAATGATGAAGAATTAAAACAATGTAAAGATCCTGAATATAAACAGTGCCGATATTGTGATTCGCCAATATGTAATTTTGAAGAAATCAATGGAGCTGGAAAAATTATATATTCTTATATTATATTGATTCCATCAATATTAAGTCTATGGAAATTCATTTAATGCATTAAATAAAATATTAAATTAAAAAAAAAAATTTAATAAAAATAAAATTGGATTAAATGAAAATTCTTTGGTATTTTCTTAAATATGTTCGCGCTATCAAATTCAATTAAAAAATGCTATGTCAAATTGATAAGGATTAAGATTTTTCATTATAAGGTTCCTTATCAATTCACTGAATATTTCTATATTGTGAAATTGAAACAATTATTGAGTTAACCTAACATTTTATAAGATTTATCCAATGTACTGTTATTGATTACAAAATTACGTTATATCACATACAATGATAACAAAAAATTGATTAAAACATGATAACATATTACGACATAGAATTACAAATACATGCAAGAAAATCTACGATTAAATCTAAATCAAAATAAAGTGTAATGTGTAAACACTATTTGACATTAAACTTAATCTGACAAAAAAAAAAAAATCATATATAAATTATTTTTTTTCAAATTATCTCTGTCACATTGTTAAAAAGTAAAATGGCGAGAGTTAATGTTTTCAAACAGCAATCAAATGACAGACAAATAACATATGTATGCCAGTTTTTGGATAATATCTGTGAAAACAAAATCAAAGCGGTAAGGGGCAACGGCGAACGATTTCCGTTTGAAATTCAAAATCAATTGAGCAGAATTTTGCATATAATGTGGCACGCGTAAATGGAAACAAATAATGTCAAAAAAAAAAAAATCGTCAGCGGTAATATATGAATTTTGGACTGTTTTACACCCGGCGATTAAATTTTCGGCGGTAACTTGACTTGATTCCAGACAGTCCCATTCAAATATGTGTATTCAATATGAATTTTAAATTTTCGCCTACCAAATTCGTTTTCGTTCTGTTGTCAATTTAAGAGTGTAAAAAATAAACTAAAGCGAAAAAGAAAAACGAAAGCGGCCAATGAGTTCTGTTGTTAACACAGAACACTGTTTTCTATTTTGCATATATATAATATCATACACACTTGGAAACAAATGATATAAAAAAAATTGACAACGTTTTAGACTACTTTGCCGTCGTTGGTTAAATTCGCCGGGGAAAATCGCTTTTCCTCTGTTTTCAAGATTTTTTTTATTACGGTATTTAATTCCACTTCCACCTTAATTTCGTATTCCACATTTTTCATAATTTGTCAAATCTATATTATTAATTATTATAAGCATACTCAGTAATAAATAACAGTGCCATAGTATCAATTATGCTACATACATTGATTCATCAATATGAAATTTGTTATTCTCAATATGTATACTCCCTATCCCTATAATAACTTTTACATATTTCTATATATTATTGAAAATATAAATTCTAATTCAGTTAGTAAAATCTCAATAGCTATGTATAGCATTCATCAAAATAGCTTTAATAGCTTTGATTTGTACCAACGATTTTTAAATAAATTATTAATCGATTAATAAATTTGAAAGATAGCCAAATTTACAAAATATTCCTTAGCTAAAATAATGAAACTTATCATTAACTTATAATAATCAATAATTGAGACTTAATTAGTCTCAAATTCAGTCAAATTGGGAAATTTTATTATACCATATTATAGTGAAGGATATATCAACTTTTGGTTTGGAGTTTGTTACCACCTGAAGGAGCCTACGATATGAACATGTATATATTCTTATTCAGCTTGAAATTTTGCGTTTATTTAGACCATATGTCTGCCCATTCACCCATCTTTCCTCCACTAGTTCTAGTATAACTATCATACAACCCTAAAAGCTAACATTAAATATTTGTTAAATTATAGCTCAGAGATATATCCTTGAACTTCTTGTGGAAAAGTGTCTCATAGGTTGAGGTAGCCGTTATAGAACCATCATGTTCTTATTATCAGATTATCAAGGTGCAGGGTATATATAATTCAGTCGGTTTATAGCGACTGAATGGTTTTTATTGTAGACAAATTTTTTAATACATAACATTATGGATATTTACGAACATTATTTAGTTAAAGTTGATTTATTGATTATAGCTATATTTTTTTATTACTTTGTAATCTTTACAAACCTTATGCTTTTAAAAGCATAATATACGAGTTCATTATCAATATTATCTAATGTCTTATTGCATTATGTATTTTTATGCTTGTATCTATGCTATTTATGCAGATTTAATATTGCGATTATCTTAGACACTCTAGTATATAGAATAAGACCTTCACACACTTATATAAACATTGCAAAACTTTAAAGTTTGATAATATTTTCAAATCGCTTTTAAAATGTTTAATTTGTAAAGGAAAAAAAAAAAAATATTTTTTATTGTAGTTGTTGAAACATAATTTAAAATTTTAGAATTTCGTCATCAAAATTTCGAAAAGTAGAAGATTTTTAAAGTTGATTATGATTATTTGATTTCTTATAAGATATTATTTTTTACATACTTTTAGGAGAAGATTTTCAAACTCTGAATTACATAGTACATTTTATTAAGTATAATTGTAAAAAAAGCGAGGGTTTTTTTAACAATACTTAGCAAGACCAAACAACAATTTTTTAAGTTGTTAATCTATGGTGATAGCTAATAAGTGTAGTTCCTTCTAGCGCTAAAATTATTTTATCTTTTAATATTGGTTTACATATGTTACCCGCACGTTAATGTATTCATAATGCTGCGTCTAATGCACACCAATTCAGTTGTAAATTAAGAAATATTTTTAAATGTAATATTGAAAAACAAAAATCAGAAATTTAATCTTAACATGTTTTTTGGTCAATAATATAAAAACAGGTTTAAAGATCAGAAACAATATCAGCTTATTAATATTTTAACAATTTTTGATTCGCTTAGTAAGCAATTAATTTCATATTTTAGAATGTATGGACCTAGATCAAACGGAATGCGGTACAATTAATTGCCGAGAACATGCCATTTCATATCTATATGAATAATTTTCTTTAAGAGTAGCTATGCAAAAAATTTTACTTGTATTGACAACCAGTATAATAATGTAGCAAGCAAATAACTATACATTAATGAATTGAGTAAACATTTAAAATTGTTTTCAAGACCCGAAGAGCATTCAAATTTTTAATATCTATATGGTTTATTTCTTTTAAATTTACGTTGTGTATGTGTTTATCATTTAATTGACTCCTTTGAATTGGATTACTAATAATGGTCTTTTTCTAATTTAAATATTTTAATTTTTCCCTAATAGACTACTTAGACCATAGATATAAATTCAGTAAATCAGTGTTTAAAAATCTAAGATTTTCTTAAGTACATCAGAATTTAATTTCTTGCCTCTTATAATAAATTCTTATTGCCGTTTATAATTAAGAACCGTTTAAAAATATAGTTTTGTAACAAAGATCTAATCTTCTTTAATTCAAACTTCAAAATTGTAATCTCATGTATTGTACCTGTTCTTATACGCAGTATGAAATGAAATTCTCGAATTATCACAAATATTACAGTAGCTCTAAATGTTTATATACATATATGAGTTCAAATTTTCTATAAATTTTCAAAATTTTTCTTGTTATCTTCAATTAAAAAATAAAACTATTTTCATCTGAATATGCTATTCATAATATTTTAGTAATTTAAAATTTCTCTTGAATTTTGATAACACAATGAACTTTCTTTTGATAAACGGGATAAAATGAAAATTTTTAGTTATACAGTAAAATCTCTTTCAGATAGAGATGTGCAAAGGTGATTAAAAAATTGCAATATAATAAAAAGCATTAAAATGAGATTTGTAGACAACTGTATAACAGTATAACAGTTTAATTGCAATTTTGAAGTCCCGCGGAATACGTAATAACATAATAAAATTTTCACAAATCTTAAATCCACTTGAAATTCTGAAATGAGAACACAATTTATATAACAGAAATATTAACTATGTACGCATACGTTACATAATTGTATGCATCTAATATACGTTAGAGTGAGTTCAAGTTAGCAGCCGGCCACCTCACTGAACATTGCCGACTGGGTTATCACTTTCACAAATTGGTACAATATGGGAACCGTTTATGTAGGATTTTCCATGATGAAGATGAGACGATTTAGCATATTCTCTGCTTTTGTGAAATATTGCCTAGTAGGCGATTGTATAATGAATTTGTAATTACGTAACAATTATAGGCCTAGTTGACGCTTTATAAGTGAGATGTTACAATAAGTCTATAGTAATCTGGTCTTAGTATGACCACTGCCAAATTACAGTCTAATCTAATATAAAATTATATATTTGAATTCAATATTATATTTTTGGGTTTGTTGTATACGCTAAATAAATGGCAAGTGCAGCGCAGAATATTCAAATCTTTGTACTTCTTAAATTTACTATTAATTTTTCAAAAACATTATATTATTGTATACAATTACATAACCAATTACATATGGTAATACGGCAATATTGTATGTTACTGATGTTATGTATATAGACCAAAAAGTTCTATTAAAAGAAACTCAAGTGTAAGCACTTACCTTTGAGATCTTCTTCATTATTTTTTTCTTTTTCATAATTTTATCTTTATCAATGATTGTAATTAGTTTGTTACGTTATCTTTATCTATATATGTATATATATATATGTGTGTATGTATGAATAACTGTATGAATTTATTGACAATATATTAGTTTATCAAATTGGAATATATGATTTGCAAAAATATTTTAATTGAAAATATTTTATTAATTTTAGTTTTATTTTAACTCTGAACATAGTATAAAGTGATCATTATACATATATAAATTATGTATTTAAATATGAATAAAAAATTTAAATATGAAATATTTTTAAAAATAATGTTAATAATTGGAGGATTTTCAATTAAACTAGTTAGTTCTAATTGTAAGTGTGTTTTATGTACAATATTTTGGATTTTATATAAAATATCATTTTTAGTTACTTGTTACGAATGCGATAAAGACATAGATTGTACAACTTTGGAAAATCCAATTAAAAATGTTGTTTGTGATGCAAAGAAATGTTTTACAATTTCATTAGGTAAATATATATGTAATATATGTATAATAATTTTAAAATTTCTACATTTTTTTTTTAATTTTTTACAATTGAGTGGAATTCTAGAAATTATAATCAAGAAAAATTTCCCTTAAATCAGTGGTTTTCAATACAAAATTTTAATTTTTCTCCGCCATTTTAATTATTAATTTTGGTCAATAATTTTATTTAAAAAACAAATTATTAAATATCTTATAAATATTAATAATTATTATAATTGTAATTTTTCATATTTAAAACAAAATTTTCAAGAAGGATAAACGTATTCTCCTGTCAGTTTGCATTTATACAAAAAGACTGGCCGTTTCTCAGTATATCAAGTGCGTGCAAATAATATTAATTGCAATTATAAAATGTCTACTATGATGGGATTTTAGGGAACCGATATTAGTCATGAATACCAATGCGACATGATAAATTGCATTATAATTTTGTAATATATAGATTGCCAACGCTAACGCAACTCTAATTATTATTTTAGCTCTTTTTTTTTTTGCATATCAGATTGATGCATAAGTGATTTTTTATATGTGATGAAAAACAAATTTTAATTTTAAAATTTTTTAAATTTCCCGCTTTATTCAAATAGTATGTAACTACATATTTTAAAATACGTGCAAACTACTTAATTGCAGATGATTGTCATTTGAATGAGGTAATTATCATGATGATTATATCTTTGACACACTACGGAAAATGTCCACTATTGAATTTAAATAAATAAATTTCAAAACATATCATAAAAAATGTTTTCTATACCTTATATCACTAAATATCAAATTAGACTAAATTATTGTAAGTATGCTTATATAAAATGTGCAAGTATTTTGAAAGTAATTAAAATTATACAAAAAATTTAACGCCCATCATTAAATTTTTTGTATTCAATTTCTTCAACACAATTCAACTTTTATCGTAGTATTGTTAACCAAACATGGACACACTTTTGTGACATTTAAATTTGATTTGAATTAAAAACATAAAAATATTTTGTACATACAATAAGTATAGATACATACATGCAATGTACATCAAATTGTAAATTAAATTGTTCTTAAAACTTTTAATAAAAGTTAAAATAATTTTGAAATATTTTTAATAGAATTGAACTCTTCTTAATTTGATATATGGAAAAAATGAAAATATTTGGGAAATTTTGTTGAAAAATTGACTACAATTACAATATTAAATATAAAATTTTATAAGTATATGAGATCTGCCGCATATAATACACATACGTATGTACATTTGAGTGCTAAACGTTCTTATTTGATAAAATTTAACAAACTATATCTTTACAACATTTTATCGCTTATATTATTATCGATATAATGTTGAACAACATTAAATTTTTTTGATATCTATCGAAAAAAAAATTTTTTTTTTATTAAAATTTTATTTGTTTTTATCTTATTATATATATGCAGGTATCAATAAACATAAACGTGGTTGTATATCAACTTTAACAGAATTTGAGACAACAGTTTGCACAAATGATACACCACACTGTCATATTTGTGATAAATCAAATTGTAATAATAAAATATTACCAGAAAATCGTCCATTATGTTATCAATGTAATGATGAATTATGTATGGATGTTACGAAATTAATACCAAAATATTGTCTTAATTATACCGAAAATAAATGTTTCACATATTTTGATGGAATAAATATGATAAGAGATTGTGTTGATGAAAAAAAAAACGTTTATGACTTATGCAAACAATATGATATTTATTGTAATATTTGTAATGGAAATAATATTGAAGCGTGTAACAATCATACAATGGAATTAAAATGTTTAAATTGTGATTCGGATAAAGGAAATTGCAAATATCCTGATGAATATCCAAATAATGTAGATCCAAATAATTGTTTGATAACAGAGGTTGAATCAAAATCATGTATGCCAAAAATAGTTAATAATTCATTAAAATTATGTTATACATATATAGATAGAAATAATTATGTGAAAAGGGGTTGTTATTCAGATCTTGATATTAAGAATATAAATGGTCAATTGACAACATGTCAAAAAAATAAATGTAATAATAATTGTATTAAAGATATTTCATGTATTCAATGTGATTCTGAAGTTAATAATGATTGTGGTAGAATAACATCAGATATTGATCCAGAATGGAAAAAAAATTGTCCTGATTCATATAATAGTGTATGTCATAGATGTGAAGATACAAGTGAGTATATTTTAAAAAAATTTTTATTTTCTTCAGTATAATCAAATTTGTTTTGTTATACTATCAATACACAGATGGCAGAACTATTCGAGGTTGCGGTAAATCACTAATGTCAAATTGTAATTATTGTTTTGATAATTATTGTATGGCTAAACCAACATACCGGAAATGCTATAAATGTGATGAAAAAGATTTAAATTGTGTAAATGGTGGATCATATAATGATTTGGAAATTGGTGAATGTTATAATACAAAATCATGTTTTGTTGGTATTACAAAAGATGGTTTTACGAGAAGAAATTGTTTACCAAAAGATGAAGATTGGAAAAAAGAATATTTAGAATATAAAATATGTAATGATTCAAATTTATGTAATATACATGTAATACCAACTGATCGTACTTTATGTTTTCAATGTAATTCTAAAAATGATCCATGGTGTAAAGAACCGAAAATAAATGAAGATATGGCTAAACCATGTAATATATATAAAACAAATGAACAATGTTATTTATATGCTGATAAAGATGAAAATATGATACGAGGTTGTCAATCCGATGATTCAAATACAAATGAAAATCGTAAAGGTTGTAATAATCCAAATAATAATTGTATTAAATGTAAAGGAAGTCGTTGTAATTTAACACCATTTAAAAGAACATCTTTAAAATGTATGAAATGTGATGAAACTGATATAAAATGTTCGACTGGCTTTGATAAAAATGAAGCTTTAGAATGTGAATTAACACCATATTATAGTAATCAAACATGTTTTATACATATTGATGGTAATAGAGTTAATAGAGGTTGTACATTAGATTCAAATAATAAGAAATTTAATTGTGAAGATAAAAATAATAAAAAATGTCAAGTTTGTATTGGTGATGGTTGTAATTATGATAAAATTAATCGTCAAAAATGTATTCGATGTCGTAGTGATGCTACCCCAATTTGTGCTAAAGAAGATATTTCAGAATTAGAACCCGAATTATGTAAAGATGAAATACGTGGTGATAATGTAGGTTGTTATACAGAAAAATTTAGTAAGTATAATATTTGCAATTTATGTAATTCAATAATAATTAAAAATATAATTTTATATTTTTAGATGGTATTGTGTTTAGAGCATGTGTTTCAGAATTAACAGAAAATGAAATTAATGAATGTAAAAAGAGTAAAAGTTGTAATATTTGTCAAGGTAGCGGTTGTAACAATAAAAAAGCACCGAATTCAGCTTCTAATTTATATTTTTCATCATTTTTACTGTTTATTACAATAGGCTTTATTAGTAGAATCATATAAAATACAAAGTGTTTAATTTTATAATTACATATATTTTTTAATAAAAAAGTGAATTTTATTTCTTATTTAAAAATGTTTTTTTAAATTAATTTGAGTATAAAAGTATAATGGGCTTTTATATTATTTGAAAATATCAAAAAAACTTGTAATACGACAAATTTTATAGAACTGAAACTTATTTTAATTCTTTATATAAGTTGGTACCTACTCCTTTGCCCCAGACTTATTACATTTTATTCAAATTTTAATAAAACATTTAAAACTTTATTTTAAAATATTCTCATGTTTGCTTAAAACATTGAATCACCACTAAAGTTTTTAACAAAGTTAGTTTAGACCAATGGTTTGTAATGTAGCATTTTTCCCTTCAACACGTGAAAATACTGCTGTTAAAATTAATCTGTGTATACCTACTACTACACTATTAGATTCATATTACTAGATAGAAATTACTTTCATTCATATACGAAACTATTTCACGAATTGCATATATTTAGGATAAACCTTGCAATCTTTGAAATAAAACAAAAAAAATTTGAAGAGTTGTACTTAATACTGGAGAAAAATAATTATATTTTTTAATAGGTTTAAGTTTACCGTTAGCTTTCTGTGTTTATAGAAATTTAAAAAAGGGTTGCAGTTTCGGAAATATAAGGCGCCTAAAATTCAAATATTACAAATTTCGAAAAGCTATAACATGAGAGGAGGTGGAGATAGGAAAAAATTTTCTTCCAACGAAATAAACTATTTATTGGTGTCTAAAAGTTGTTAATATTTCAGAAGTAGTTTAAACATCTACACGGAAAGACAAACGGACAAACAGAGTGAAACTAATAAGCATTTTTTTTTTTCAAAAATTTTTTGGAAAAGTGCTAACAATTCAGTCAATAACCTAGCTACGTTTCTCTTAATTACATAGAGTTTTCAATAAAAAAAATTGCATAAATTTAGGAGAAACTTCCTATAAACATAATCCTGTTGAAGGTAACTTACATTCGCCTAATTTTCTTCCGCAAAAAATTATTTTTAAAATTACTCAAAACAAACTTTGGCTAGATAGATTTGGCTTTGGCTTAATTAATTTTAATATATTTGTGTGTAATGATATTCTCCTAACATATTGTATGATAAGATTTTTTACATTATCTAACTGTATTAAAATAAGATTAACATTTCAAATTTAATAGTAGCTGGAATAGAATGAAAATTTCTTTAAAAGTTTTTTTTTAGCACTACTATTTTAGAAATGATGAAAGAAACTCTTGCTCGTTAATCTAGCAAAAAAAAAATGATTTCAAAAATAAATTTTGTAATTACGACGTTATTAATTGCAAATTTTGTAAATTCAATTTGGGCAAGTAAGTTTTTATATATACATACAAGATACACATAAATATTAGAAATAATAATTTTAATTGCTTGTTTAATAATCTAAATTATATAATATAAATTTTAGTTAAATGTATAGGATGTTCTGCTGAAAATGTGAAATGCGTTCAAAGTCCTGAATTAATAAATTCAATGGAATGTTCAAAAGGAATTAATCAATGTTTTACAGCAATAAGTAAGTTTTATTAAAAAAAAAACGAAAAGTACATCAAAATGTTTGCATTAACAACAAAAAAATATTTTATTTTTCATCTCGACCCAACTAAATTAAAGGCAAAGAAGGTTCAACAGTTCGCGGTTGTTATTATGAAAATCATCATTATTGCCAAGGAAATTATAATTGTACAATTTGCTCTGAAGACAACTGTAATAAAAATATATTACCTGTAGATCGTATTAAATGTTATCAATGTTCAGGAAAAAATTGTAATAGCATTAATGAAACAAACCTATTACCATGTTATAATTATAAAAAGGATGATGAATGCTATATACTAAATAGAGGGATCAATGAATCTGTTTATGGATGCAAATCTGATTTATTCTATACGGAAAACTGCAAAAATGATAATTCTTGTTCAGAATGTAAAGGATCCGGTTGTAATATTCTTAAAGAATGTTACAGTTGTCAAAGTAATGATCAGAAATGTAAAAAACCAGAAAATATTGATAATATTAAAAAAATTCAATGTCAACCTGATTTAAATGGTAATTTTTGTTATACATATCTTGATGAAAATGATTTTATAACACGAGGTTGTGCTTCTAAAAGAAACGTAAGTGAAAATAATGGTTATCTTGTTGAACTTTGTAACGAAAATAAATGTAATTCAAAATTAATTGAAAAAATCAATTGCCTACAATGTAACTCAAAATCTGACAAAGATTGCGGTATCAAAGATTATAAAAATGATTGGATTAAAGAAAATGGATGTCAAGATTTCAATACAGTATGCCATTTAAATTGTCATGATAATAATAATAAAAACATTGTTAGTGGGTGTGGTAAATCACCAATTAATTCATCTAATTGTACATACTGTTATTCAAATTGCGATAGGAGACGCAATGAAACAAATCCAGAAATTTCAACATGCTATAAATGTCGAAGTGATCTCGAAGAAAATTGCAAAAACTATGTTGAAAAATTACAGCCAAGTTCTTGCCAAATTCAAACTGATAAAATTGGTTGTTACGTACAAAATATATGTAAGTATATGTATATATTGCCTACATACAAAGTTAAAATATGATCCTTACGTAAGCAAATTCTGTTTCTTATTTTAGATGGTCTAATAAGAAGAGGTTGCCAATCCGATTTAACAAAGACTGAATATGAAAGGTGTATAAAAAGTAAAAATTGCAAACTTTGCAATACCAACAACTGTAATAATGGAAAGTCATCCGCAATAATGTATAAAGCAACAGTAGGATTAACATTTTTTGTTTTGCTTTTTAGCTTTATTTTTTAAGATTACCTATGCGTACGTATGTATATCAGCAATATAAGTTCTTCATCGGATTAAACTAATTTGTTTATCTATACAAACATATATGCGCTATAAGTATTACAAATAAATCTATTATGTATTGATTTTTTTAATTATTTAATCACGTAGCTGATAACACAGCATTAAGGAAAGGTATGAGATATGAAATTTTTAACAACTCTTTGATAGCATGTAAGTGTGTTGTGTTACGTAGTAATCAAAATACCATTTTATGAAGGGATTATACACACGTCAATATGAAATACATGAGTACATGTTATCAAAGTAACTAATTTTATAAAACTCAGATCATCAAGATCTAAGCTAATACTGATGAAAAATATTGAAATTTTGAGATTTCAAAAAAACCAGCCTTTCCGTCTTTTGTATCAATTCACGCAATAACAAAATATTCGAAGTTATAAAATATGCAATAAAGGCAACTTTTAGGACTTTAGGCAATTTTCATGAAATCACAAAACATTTAATAATACCTTTACTGATACCTATTCTAAAAGGTTACGAATGAAATGTTTTCATTCGTAACATCTGTTAAAATTATGATTACTGATGAAGGTGAAATAGAAAAAAACTCAATTCTTTCACTATTAATTTAGAGTGCAATAATTATGTGGTAATAACAAATTTTTTTATTAGAATTTATACAATACATATGTACTTATTTTTGGTAGATAAAACTATTGACTAGCTTAAATTTAATTTGAAAAAATTTATGAATTGTAAAATATTAAAATTTAAAAATCTTAAAAATTCATGAGTTTTTTTTTTTTTTTGCAACTATGATTTTGTTACATTTCAAACAACTTTAATGGATAAGGTAATATCGGAATAAAATTTATAATAATTTTCAAAGTCTTTATTTAAGAAATCAATATTCAATTTCTGTATTACTGGCTTGTAAAGACGATATAATATTGTACATATAATTTATGAAGGTACATACCAAATATAATATGTATATAGGAAGCTTTACATCTTAATCAATTGGACATAATTCAGAATCTTTCTCATCTGTCACCAAATTAGCGGGCTTAATTAATAATCTTTGGTAATTTCCATCACTATAAATATTTTTGGGTGTTTTAATAGCTTCTTTTTTAATAAAATCTCTAATTATAAAAGGTTCAACAATTGGCATCTCTAAACTTTTACCCCATACTAAAAGTGCAAATGGCCTTTCTTTTGTCAACATTCTTGATGGCGATATTAAATGCCTAAATAAACAACTGGCAACAATAGATTTGAAACTTTTTATTTGCATTCGATTTGCACATGGATGATATAATGCAACAACAGCTCCAAAATCCAAATTATGCATATATCGTTGCTGTGGTAAATATGTATATTCCCCGTAACTAGCCCATACTGGCCTATAATTTCCAAAAGCAGTTAGTTCTTCACCATAATATATTGACTCATTCATACAAAGAGCTTGAGGCACATAAGCAACGGGTATATCAAATTCTGTATATAAAGGATTTAAATCAAATCTTCCTTCATAAAAAGTTCGATTATCTTCACATGTCCATAAGGCTTTGTGTTTATTTTCATCTAAATCTGTTTGCAGACAATTATGTCCATTATCACAAATGCTTTGACAATCGCTAAGGCTTAAATTTTCATCATATGGATTTCTTGGGAACCATATTCCCTTCCATTCTGTATCTGTGTTTATTTCATCTGCGTATGCAGTGAATTGAAACCATGTTAACAGTGTTATTATTAATAATTTTGTCATTTTTAATAAAATATTTTTAAAATATAAAGCCCCATACAATTACTCTAAATTATAAAAAAATATTATTTGTCAATTTAATGATTGAATATGTTTTTAAAGAAAAATAAGTGGCTTTACCTTAGAAAACTGTGGTGATGTTTCTTTTTTATTAATTAATTTTTTATAAAAACAAATCGACGTCAATCAAAATATCTTTATGTCACAAATCAGTAGAATAAATTATTTTTAAGAATCTTACTAGAGTTGACAATTGAATTTATCTAGAGGGTAAACACATTACATACCGATTACAAGTATAGATTGATAATAGATTCGCATTGTAATAGTTCCACAGCGTGAAAGTTTAAGTTAGTAAGATTAAAGTAAATATGTTCAATTTTCTAATAAAGTATTAATAAATACCTAGATTATCTTCACACAAATACTTTTATCATTAAAAAGAATGAATAAATACATGTAGTCAAAAATAAATCCGCTCCTAATCTAGTTTAATTTATATTTATTGAAAAAATACTGATAGTAAAAAAATTAGTTATTTAAGCTGTTTTTAAATACGAAACCTGTATTATAATGTACTATGTATATGCCATCTTTCACAATAATTTAAAGAGGAAATGAAAAGTATGTGAAATGTTGTGTTAATTGAAGTACAAATCTCTCGATATTTCAACATCTCGAATCGATGATAACAATAAATAGAACTAAAAATTATAATTGTAAGAGCACGTTCTGGCTTAAGGAAAAAAATTGTTTCCTGAGAGCTCTGATTTTAGCAACGAGCGATTTCTTAACTCTGTATGCTCTTAGGTAAAAAACGAACACGCAAAGTCGGTCTAATCTTTTCCAAATTTGCTTTGATGTAAAAAACGAAAGCACCTTAATATAATTTTATTATGTTGACATTCCTAAACCCTGAATTTTAAGAATATAAATTTTGTTATAGTTGGTGCAGCGCTGCTCTATTATGCTCAAGCATAATTAAATTTATAAAGAATGCAATTTACTGTCAGAATTGCTGTCAGTGTCAAAAGCTATTTACATAAAAAAAATCATATTTCACAACGTTACTCAAATTTATTTAGTGAAACTCTTGTATATTCTTTTTTTCATTTAAATTTTTAATCTTTCCCAAAACAACACATATAGCATTTTGTGATATTACTATATAAAACATATAACTCAGGTGTGAAGTTCACTATACTTTTAAATTTAATTCCAAGAGATAGGTTAAGTAGTTATCTTTATATTAGAATAATTTTAATACATAATATCGAATTTAAAATATGGCATCACCATGGGGGAATATTGAAAAAGTACAATCCACAAATTTCGAAGAAATAATGTCAGAAGAATATGCAAAAGATCTTCAGAATAAAGAAATCGATAAATATACGAAAAAAATTCGAGATCAGATAAACGATGAGAAAATTGCAGGTTTACTTCAATCGGGAGTTGAATTAAATGAAGTTGTTTCAAAAGATACTTTATCAAACACTAATTTTATAACTTATTCAACTTCAACTGCAGATGTATTAGAAGTTTTGGAAAAAAACAAAACTGAAAATTCATTCCCCGAAGAAGTTTGTGGTTCAGATGAGTTAATAGCTCGTGTTCTTCAAAGTCAATTCGATCATGAATATAACGAAGAATTAAAACGTCTTGAAAAACAAAAAAACAAAGAATCTAAAGTTTCTATTTCTTTGGAAAATTACAAACGTGCTGAAGATTTTGAGAGTGATTCTGATGAAGATTTAGATGATGTTTATTATAGTGAAAAGAAGGATTGGGATCGTTTTGAAACTAATGAAAAACGCTTTGAAGCCATACCAAAATGTGGTTTTAAAATAAACCAAGAAAATGGCAAAATGATAACAAAACATGACTCACAAATTTGTAGTATACGAAACGCATGCAAAGGTATGGGAAATAAAAAAGTAGTTTTGAATAGATTCCTAAAATAAGTTCTCTTTTTTCCTTTTTTAGTTATGTCATTTCCACCTGAATTTCCTACAGGAGATGGTGCTGGTTTTGATATGAAGCTCTCAAATCAAGTTTATAACCAACTTAAAACTTATTCAAGAAACATAAAAAAGAACAAAATGTCTGATAGAAAAGTTAATCAAGCAACTGCTGAAATGGGAGTTGATGCACGAACAAGATTATTGTTATATAAATTAATAAACAATCAATTACTTGAACAAATAAATGGAATAATTTCAACAGGAAAAGAAGCTCTTATTCTTCATGCTGTTTCTGATCCAAATTATGATGGAGATTTAATTATTCCCAAGGAATGTGTTGTAAAAGTTTTTAAAACAACACTTAATGAATTTAAGCAAAGAGATCGTTATATAAAAGATGATTTCCGTTTTAAAAATCGCCTCAAAACATTTCAAAAACAAAATAACCACGTTGTTATAAATATGTGGGCGGAAAAAGAAATGCACAACTTAATGCGTATGCGAAAATTTAAAATAAACTGCCCGGATGTTATCATATTGAAAAAGCATATATTAGTAATGTCTTTTATTGGAGATAATCATAATGCAGCACCTAAATTAAAAGACGCAAAATTGACAGACGCAGAATTGAGTTTAGCTTACGAAGAAATAGTTGATACCATGATAATGTTGTATAACGAAGTCAAGTTGATTCATGCTGATCTGTCAGAATACAATATTTTATGGTATGATGGAAAATGTTGGTTTATAGATGTTGCACAATCAGTTGAACCTGAACATCCAAGCGCATTAGAATTTTTGATGCGTGATTGTAACAATATAATATCGGTAGAAAATTTAAAGACAATAATTCACCTTAAAATTTACCTTTTTTTTTTAATGTTTTAGTTTTTCAAACGCCGAGAACTGCCAAATATTATGACAAAAGAAGAATTATTCGAGAAAATAACATCTTTAAATGCAGAACATTATAATGCCGGTATGTTGGAAAAAATACATCATCGCGGAATTTCCGTTTTACAAGCCACTGCCCCTAATCTAGAAGGTTGTCCAGATGAAAAGAAACCTTTAGAATATCCGTTTGAGCTTGCTTGGGAAAAGTCAATGGAGGAAAGGAATCAAAAATCAAAAGAAAGTGATAATAAAATTATAGAAAGTACAGAGGCTTTAAAAGTCATTTCTATAGGAGATTAAATCAAATTTTTTTCACTGCGTACATTATATTGCCAAAATATATATTTAAAAAATGGACAATTTAAAAGATTATTAATAAAATTAATATCTTTTTCATATTAGTTTTTATTTTTTCTATAAAATTTTCCCATTTGTATAAAGCTGTAGTGAATTTTCTTTAACTAAGCATCTGGCATATCACCCCCAGGAACAAGCTATGTATGTAAATCAAAAAAATGCAATTCAAAAAAAAAAATTGTTAGGAAAAAAAAGAATGATTCTTACCATAGTTATGTTGTTTCCATTCAAAAGAATTTGATCAAGTTTAGTAATTCGTCTACCTTCCGATGTATTTTCGTACTCTGTAACATCTTCTAATAACATATTAACAAAGTCGTCAAATCCTAAAAGTGTGCCCACCATTTCTTTATCGTTTTTCATTATGATATGAATTCTAGATCCAATACATTTATCAACCAATTCTATGTAAAAAATTATAAAACACACAATATGTAAGCGAATTACATATATGAATGCACAAAATATAAAGAGTTTCTTTAATACCTAGTGGTAATAGAGTTGTAACAGTGGGAGGTGGAGCAGCAGACGTCATTTTTATCAGGTTTTCGTTTATTATTACTATATTACTTTTTTAACACTATAAATTTCTGATAAAATTTTATTTATTTAGAAAAACTTATTTTCAGCGAGGACAGAAGCCGCTATAATGTTTATATGTCAAAACATTTTTTTCTATTAAATGTCAATAATTTTAGTTGCAAATTCATATGAAACTGTTACATCTAGTATTCACTAGAGGGATGATATTGTAAAACAATTTTTGTTGCCATGTTATGTAAAACTAATTGTCAAATCTAGTCTAATTATACCATATAATTTTATTTGGCTGGAAAACATTTAAGATGATAATCAATTTTATACAAAATGGTTTTAAGTTTAGTTAAATATTACTTGAAAGTGTTAAATATTCGGTAGTTTGGTCCAGGGTAATTAGTAAGTAAATTTTGTGGTAACAATAATGAGTAATTAAATAAGTGTTTAACTAAATGGTGTGTTTAGTGTTTCTACTGGGCCGTTTTTGAATAATTTTTGCACTTCATGTAAGTTTTATAACATTATACTTTAATTTACTTATATTGACCAAAATTTATTTGTGATTCTTATAAACAATAATTACCAATATATGAATGCAGATAATGCAATGTAAATGTAGGTACATACAAATATAGACTACTAAATTTTTCCGTTGTTCAATAATATTAACTGATTAAATTTGATTAAATTTAATAACACAAATTTCATTTCATATAGTGTAAAAAATATTTTGCAAAGAAATTATAAAAATTCTCTTTGAATTTCCTATTTAGCTTTATTTTAATAACAAAATGATTGATATGCCTTGACTTCTTAACATAATTAATAAGAAATTGTTATTATTCGTATTTAAATATAATGAAATTTAATAGAATATTTAAGTATAGTAGTAGTTGTTAGACAAGACAAATATTTTATTATATTGTTTCATTCGCGTAATATATTGTAGATTTTTTTTATTTAATTGCGTAATTAACACTATAAATCGTAATTTAAATTAATTTTGATGTTTGATAATAACAATAATTATCTCTTCATATACAAGATTGTATATAAATAAAAATCAAATATCACAACATACATGTATTTTTAAACTCATTTCATATAATTGTAATTTATAAAAAGTAATAAATAATGATAATAAAAAGATGTTAACCTTATCACAATAAGGAGTTTCCAAGTCAAGTAGCAATTACGTCTATACTTATAAAAAATTTTGGGACAAAGTCTAAAGTTGTATTTTATTATTTATAATATTATCAGTATTATATTTTTGTTATGTGTACCTTATATACAAACACATTTACATGTAAATTCATCATTTTGGGTTTTTAAACATTTAAAATAAATTCTTAAAAATGAAATATTTCTAAATGTTTCCATTGATTTGACACAACAGTATTTTGATCTCAAAATTAAATAACACAAAAAAAATTGTTTAAATATTAAACGTTTTTAAAGGGATTTTGTGAATTTTGTCAAAAATAATTGCAATTAATTAATTTAATATGAATAATTACGTACGCTTGGTATCTACTTACCTTTGTTTTTGAAAGTTGAAACGGACGGATTTATTTTGTATTTTATTTCATGAATAGTTCATGCATGTATGTATGAGTTATCAATTTTGAAATTTTTTCTGAATACGTCAATATTATTTTGAAATCAGATTTCTCTTTGTGTAAACGCTCATACAATTAGTCATATCTCAAATTCATTAGATTTACCGCAGAAATCACTGTTACACTTATGACTCATGTACAGAAATCACATTTTCTAAGATTAAAAATCTGATCATGTATTTTACTCGACAAGTGAGAAGACAAGATCTTGTATTTTACTCGACAAGTGAGAATACCATCATAAATTTGTATAATGTAATTTTCGAGTGAGAAGAATTATTTTGTATTGCGTATTTAATTTTTCCTAAAATGTATACAAAATTTATTCACTTTATTTTTAATATTTTTATTTTATATAATTTGAGAAAACATGGAAAAAAATCAATTGAAAAAAATGATTAATCTTAAAAAAAAAAACGAAAAATTCTGATTTGAATGTGGATAAAAAGTGATATGAAAAAGCGAGATACGCAATTAGGCTGTGAGAAATTCTAACTTTATTTATATCTATAAATATTGTAAACAAAATTTTGCAAAAATAATTCTTTAAATTTGACAATGAATTTAATTTCATTAAATTTCTTTTATACTTTTAATAATAAATTGAGATCAATTTTTAATGCCTTTAACCGTTATACCAATGTTTTATTTTTAAGAATTATGTGTTCAATGAAATATGATATGTAAAATATTTTTTCCAAATTGTTTTTAATTGAAAAATTAAATTTGTATAAAAATATGATTGAAAATGACGCTCTTTTAAATCATAGTGTTAATTAAAGTTTTTGTTATTGTTACGCAGATGGCGTTATATAATTTCGTTTATTATTTTATATTTCGTAAATATTTTCATATATTAATATGCTGCTATAGTTTCTTCGATTTTCAATCAAAACATGCCATCAGTTTGCAAAATTGCTTAATTGATTGCTTAATTGTATGCGATCATACAGTTTCATGTATGCTGGCTTGAATATAAACCTATGGAATACAAATAAGCAATCAAACAATTGTAAAACTAAAAATTGCATGTCTGTCTGGAAACTAATAACCTTTAATGGTGTGATTTTTATATGTCAAACAAAGTATAAAAGCATTCATATTTATGATTAATGTGCGTGCATGTGGCAGCATTTATAATAATATAACAAAATAAATCTATAAGTACAAGAACAAAATTTAACGTTGTGCTTTTTAATCACAAGTAATCTTAAATTTAGTTTAGTATTTTCATTGTTATTTAGATTTAGTGATATTAGGTAATTAGAATTTTTTAATATTTTAATTGCTCCAGCACCTAATCCTCTTATATTAATTCTAGGTCCATAAAAGCAATTAGAAAAAGTATTCTTATAGATTATTAATTAATCTTATTTTAATTAATTATTACGAGTATATATACATATGTATATGTTCGGTTAAATGGTTTTTGATCTTTTAACTTTATCGCTGAAAGTTTGACATTTTGTTAATAAACATACGAAAACATTCATATTTCTCAATTATGTAATAATTACAATAAATTATTAATTATAACAATATATTAGAAATAATAAATATTATCTAATTTATTGTTATAACTCTAATATTTACTGTTTTTGTTAAGCATTTAGCAGTTAGCGTAACCAAAAAACTTCAAATATCAAATATTATTTGCCGTTAGACAAAGTCTGATGTCAAACAGGGTTTACATACCTATACGACAGACTCAGATTAAGCCGTAGATTTTGTCGTATATGTAAACAGTTAAAGCTGCGGTTGTTGCAATCAAAAGAATAAATAAGTAACAACGAACAAAAGTTAAAGAGTAAAAAAAACTAATAAATAAAAGTAAAATATTTAAAAAATAAGAAGAAAAATAAAATTTTTTTGAATTCCTATGTAGATAGCTATGTACATATGTATGTAAATAAAATAATAGAAGATGCGACAAGAAGAATAAAATTAATAAATTATGATGCCTTCCAACAATTATTCTTGTTCTCTGAGGTCCTAATGATATAGTAGCCCTAGTATGTAGTTTGGTTATCTTTATTACTATCTTTATTTCTTGCATTCAATTAATATGCTAAATAAATTTTCTATTTTTAATGGAATTTTTAATAAAATCAAAATAAAAGAAAGAAGAATATATAAAAATTATTGCAATATAATTTAAGTATAACTTGAATTTTTTTTTTAATACAAACCACTTTCTTACGTACGCAAATATACGTACATAGACGCAAATTTAAATTTATTGCATTGATCTACTCTACTTTTAATATTATTATTAGGCTTTAGGCTTTTAATATTTTAAGAATATCATTGAAATATTGCATACATACATATATGTATACAGATGTGTGGTTTTTTATGTGATGATTTAATTATCGCAAATGGAAAAATTATGCATGTGCTTATAGAACATGACTGAATGTCAAAAATGAATGACGTAAATTTCTTTAACATTATAAATAATCGGAATATTAAAATTTAAATTTAGTCTTTAATTTCATGTATGTAAATACATCCATATACATATAATGCAGGTATGTATAGGTAACTAGATATGTACATATATTATATACAAATAAAATTATATTATTGTGTTACAATTGTGTTTCGAATTCTCTAATATAAAAATTAATTTTACAATATAAATTGCCTTCTTTTAGGATTGTTGCATAAATGCTCATGTGCTTGTTTAATATAAAGACTCATAAATTAATTGAATACACACTATTTTAAAACTGTAAGCTGTGTTTTTGCCGAATCCCTAAATAAGTTTTTAGTATACTTATTTTTTTGAATTACTAAAATATTAGTAAATTTAAATAATTATTGTAAAACAATCTGACAGTTGATATTTTCTGGTCTTTTAACAAAATGGCACAAGTAAACATGTATGTATATAAATTTGTAAAATCCATACATACATACAGACATTTTCCCTACAGAAATATTTTGTTTAGTAATTTAGTACAATTTAGTACTTTTATGGAAACAATGTAGTACATACATATTAAGTACATATTTTTTTGATTTTCAATAAATTTTTTAAATCGCTATAAATTATATGTATGTATCTACTATATTTATCAATGTACATATGTATATATATGTATGTATATACTCCCATTCTGGTTTCACAAAAATTTTCAAAATGGATATAGGAGTAATATGCATACAACATACATATGCTTCAGTTTAAATTTCGTAATCTTGTTGTAAAAAAATTTCTTAATTCTTCAAAAAAAAACTGGGCTAGTATTAAATTTTTTTTTTGCAATTGATCTAGTAATTTTCTATTTATTAATTATTGCTATAGTTAATAATTAAATTTGACATTTTGATTAATTATTTTCTGAAATTTAAGAATATTACAGCTGGTGACATTTACGTCACCAGTAAAGTATAATTGATTGAAAATCAAAAATTTTATAATTTACAAAATTTAGAACCTCAATATATGTAATTAATTACTAAATTCTTAATATTTGATATTATCTCACCTTGAACAATTAACAAAATTAAATATGCATATATTTTGTTTTTGTGAAGGTTAAATGATTTTGAAAGCAAATTTTATGCCACGGTTTGCTACAAATTTTTCAAAAATGATAACCTTCCTATTTAATAATTAATTACTAATAATCGTAGTTTTTATAGGTTTGTGGACAATAAGAAAAAAGGATAATTTTTAATAATTTGCAAATATGTAATTTTTTTTTTCCTAATAATTATAATTTTGTGTTTTAGTCTACACTTCAATCAAATAATTATTAAGTGTTAAATGCCTACA